ACATCTGTTTAGTTTAATTTTTGCAACAATTTTTCGCACCCAAACCACCAATATATTATTACAGTTTTTTAAGATTTGGCATGTATTTCTTTTAAAAGTTTTGATGGATTATTTCTCAAGCATGCATATAATTTAGAGGAACAGTATCTTTGGATCTTAACGTACTTTGGCTGTCAATCCATCTATTGAAATATTTCTTTATGTTGATTTGAAATTATTTTATTCATTGAAATTTATAGATATCATCTTTTCAAACATCTTTTTACAAAATTTTAAATTGATGTCTGTATGAGATTTGTGGATAAATCATTAAGGTTTTTAATTTGGACAAAACTTGCTCAAAATCTGGTTCAACATTGTTCAAGAATTTAGGATACTATTTGGAAATTCGTTAAGCAGATTTTGATTTGTTATAGTATTGTTTAATTTGTTTCTTAAATCAATATTTTTTTATACCTTGTAGAGTATAACTAAGAAACATAACAAGACTCTATGGCACAATTTTTACGAAGAATTGATGCAAAACGATGGATCCAGAGCGGGAAGCATCATAAAGGAAACTACAAAGAGCAGAAACAATCGATGTGGAGAAATATGAGGCAAAGAAGATATTGGAGAATGCATTGAACAATCAACCTACATGCATCCCTTACAATGCTTATATCTTCCTTTCTTAAACGACAAATCTCGGTTAGTTTTTAAATAAAGTTTTGCTTCAAAATTTAGATTGAAGTATATTGGGGTTTACATCAACATAGCGACGAAAATCAATTCGTCGTAAGTTGATCTAAGTAAATCTACCTTCGACGTAAATATGTCATATCTTTGTCAAATAGTTAAATTTACCGTTAATTCATTGTAAATATTTTGTTAATAAACCGATAGTAAGACTTTCCAATGAAACAACGAAGGTAAATTACTCAGTAAAATGATTGTAATTTATCTCTAATTTTTGTCAAAATAACCATGAAATTTAAGATTATAATTGAGGTTTTAAGAAAAAAATAAGAACGATCCCATGCTCTAATATCGAGAAAGCTACCCTAGCCTTGATTTCCGACGCTGGTGAAGCTTCGGCTCATCGGCGTTGGAACTTGTCTCTTTCTGCTCGCAACTTCTACAATCGCTTTATCGCTTTAATCTTGTTGCGGTCTCTATCTCCATCATTTCGATCTTTTGTTCTCCTGGCAAGCTTCGAATATGGCTCAAACAATAGTGATATAGGACGAAGGAGATGTCCAACAACTCCCTTCTCTTTTCTCCTGTGCTCACACCCTCCTGGCAAAGCTGTTACCACCAAATTTGTCTCAATTCTTCCAATCAGGATCAAATATGATCTTTGTAGAAGCTTATTTGCAACCTCATCTCTGCTTTTGTCTGATCGAACTCTTTGGCACGAAGGATATCAGTTCAACTACCCAAGTCTCCTGTCGTCTAGGATGGGAACAATACTAGCAGCTTAAATGTTTAGAATGCTATATTCCGGCTTGTACCTTTTATGACCCAAGTTAACCTTATCTTTAATAGCCTCTGCCTCTTAGCTACAGATCCAGTTTCCTCAAATCATCTTCCTGAGGCAGCCTAAGCTTCAGCTTAACACAATATCCCGATACCTATTCGACCTTTAGGGTCAAAACAATCCTATTCAGTTGTGGTATAAGAAAAAGTTGTTACAACAATGCTACTCCTTGGAGAAACTTTCCCTACCCTTGTATCTTATGGAGAGAACTCTTTTACCGAGCTGTCCATGATTTCCTACTTTTAAAAAGAAAAAAACACTTAAGACTCCTAACTACCTCGTCATGGTTCGTGTCGGCGACCCTTGAGGCTAAGGACCGCTTAAGACTCCTAACCACCTCGTCATGATTCGTGTCGGCGACCCTTGAGGCTAAGGAATCTTTTTCAATGTCACATGATCTCTTGAAAGTGACTACTTGTAATCTCTACGAATTATTCGCGGAAGTATCTTTGATACACCATGATCTCGCCTGTGGCATGTTTTAGCCGTTTTTCTTTTTTTTTTCTCACAACCAAGTTAAATTCTTTTATGAAACCCAACATAATCTAGACCATGTAAAAACAAAGCCATTTGATGCATCTCATAGCCAAAAAATAAGCGTACAAGATGAAATTTGATATTCGATTTCGTCTAATATATATGGCAAATATCTAATCAATATATCACAATAGTTGATTAAATTTTTTGTAGCAATCATAAAACCTAAATTGAAAATTTTGGAACTTTATTCAAAGATTTAAGAAGCTATATCTACCTTGATGAATTAAAAGAACTCCTCAAATGATGAATATGTATATCTCAAACTTCTGCTCGTTATTAGTGACTGAATATTCTTTGAAACAATTAACCATACATAAAAAACCAAAATAATATATATTAATTATAGACGGTTATAAAAATACTTAAATATAATTTTATTATGTACGTATAGGTTAATAAATGAAACATAAAAATATCTATAACATTATATTTTTATGTTTCATTTATTAACCTACACGTAGATAATGAAATTATATTTAAATACTTTTATAACCGTCTATAATTAATATATATTATTTTTGTTGTTTATATATGGTTAATGGTTTCAGACAATACTCGGTTACTCATAACTAGCAGAGGTTTGAGATATACATATTCATCATTTGAGGAGTTCTTTGAATTCATTAAGGTAGATATAGTTTAATTAAATCTTCGACTAAAGTTTCAAATCTTTTCAATTTAGATTTTATGATTGCTACAAAATAATTAATCTAACTATTGTGATATACTGATTAGATACTCGCCATATTAGGCGAAATCGAATATCAAATTTCATATTGTACGCTTATATTTTGGCTATGAGAGATGCTTCAAATGGCTATGTTTTTACATGTTTCGAGATTACGTTGGGTTTCACTTAACTTGGTTGTGAGAAAAAGAAAGAAGGAAAAGTTGTTGTTTAACTATTTTTATATGTTCTTTTGTGTTTTACGTATAGATCCCAACCGATCGGTGAAGGTGCAATACCGATCGGTATCAATCGATGAGGTGCAATATCGATCGGTAAAACTCCTTGATGAGACTACTCACACATGATCTAAGTATATGTGATCATTGTAGAAGAAGGATCACGAGTTAAGAAGAGATATACCAAAGATTTTAGAAATGTTAAAAGCAAAATAATAAAGAAGATGAAGAAGAGAAGAACCCCTTAATAAAACTATAAAAATCGTAAAAGAATGTATGCTTTAAGTTTACAAAAATAAAGGGTTTATATAGGAATTGGAACACAGCCCTAAAAATAATAAAAACAAAGATTTTAAAAAGCCCAACAGATTGGTAGGCAGCGTCTTTGAAACCGATCGGTTCGATTTCTCAAACGATCGGCCCTCTTAATGAATCATCTCTTTACTTGACGCGCTTTGACCCATTTCTTCACCTAAAAAAGTTGTTTCTTCTCTGCATGTCCAGAAATATGAAAACACTAAAAGACATCGAAAATGATTTGTTCTCTATTAAAAGACTGAATAAAATAAATAAAAGAAACCTATAAATGTGTTAAAAATATCACTTACAAAGGTATATAATTTGTTTGTATAGTTTTATATTATTGTATTAGATATGAATTTGATTTAAAAAAAAATTAGAAATATAAAAACAAATTTGAGACTTGTGGTTCCTCACTTCACACCTCATAGATACACGCATGCCATGCTTGGAAGAGGGTGAGGAAGGTGTCTTTGGTGTCAGTGGCTGATTTTAGCCAGTTGATAGCGGATTCCCATTGAGAAAGCGCGACCAATGGCGTGAAAATAGCTACAATATTTCTCCAAATACATGTAGAATATGAACATTGAAACAAAAGGTGGTCCCTTGATTAATTCCTCTTCTTCACCTCACAAGAGACAAGATTTTCAACATTGCATCCCCATCGAAACTAGCCTGTCTAACATGGGGTTACGATTTAGAATAAACAACCAAACCGTTAAAACAGGCTTTGAGATTCTAGCCTTATGCCAAACCAACTAATACCAAGGGACATGTGGTTGGGGTCCCTAATCTTGTTCGATCCATACATTCCAAGCACAAATGATCTCTGAATAACTTCATCGATCATCCATACCGCTTTATCATTAGAAAGAGAGACAATAATGGCTGTGATATATCCGTATAGAAGTGTTTGTTTCTCCGATCTGGCCGGTGAGAGATTCCATCCCGTAAGAGTAGTCTGCTCCTTTACAGTAGAGTAGAGAGGTATCCCAAGGAGTGTTGGGCCATTAGTACCAAAGAAGTTAATCAAAGGACCAAAATGTGTCCATATATGGATCCCACCAAAAGAATGTATAATCCCCATTCCCAAATTTTATCATGAGAAAATAGCAGACTTTTGTTCGTAGCTTCAAAAGTTTCCTTAGCATCCAAGAAAACCGGTAGTTTTTTTTTCCATTTCGTGCCCAAAAAGTTGAATGAGACAAGTATTTGTTTCTCATCCATGCCACCCAAATAGACCCAGCTCTGAAATACAACAACTATATCAATTTTAACCCGCAAGTATCACTCCAAGACGACAATTTCCTCAAGCCAAGCCCTCCTTCCAACTTTGGTACTAAAAGAGAATCCCAAGCCACCCAAATAGAGCCATGCCAAAAATAGGCGCTGCAAAGTGTGTTTATACGATGTATAATCTGCTTTGGTAGCATGAACAGAGTTCTAGAAACCAATTATCCTTGATATCACCCGAGACGCAGATGTCTATGTGACCAACTATTAACTTTTTTGTGAATCTGCGATACTAGAGTTTCACAATCTGCAACTGAAAATTTCCTTGAACACAACAACAAACCAAGGTAACGGATTAGAAGGGTTCCCGAAGAGAGCGAACTTGTTCTGGACTTTATGGCTAAAACAGCCTAATTATTGGTTTATCGCCAATATTGTTCGATCACAAGTTTTTCGTTTCCATACATAAAACATGCTCCCTTTTCCATGTAAGGGGAAAAAAAATCTATGAAAATGTTGATTCTCCCTGTATTTTCTTATATAATCATAGAAATCTTTTTAAACAAACAGTAAAAAAAAAAAGGACAAAGATGAGGCACACAAGATAAAGAAGATTAGAGTAGAGAGTTCCAAGAAAGCTGGAACTAGCTAAGAAGAAGGACCGGTCCAATAGGATTTTACAGCGAGAAGGATCTTCTCAGGATTAAAAGGTCCTTTCTCATGATCCAAAATCCGACTCTTCCACCTCATTCCATTGGTTATGCTTTGTATCTTCGTCAACATTTCCACAGTGTCTCTAAACACCACGGTTCCTTCTGGTCTCAAAATTCTATCCATCTCAAGTAGTAACAATGTCACATCACACCTTTCATCATCAACAACAATAACATCAGATTTCAAGTTTGTGAGAACGCAAACACAAATGCAAATGCACAATTTCTGGCTGGTTATAGAATTTTAAGAAGGAAAAAACATTACAAATATTCTTTTCTTTCTCAAAAATATTTGAACAAAGATAGTCCATATTTTCGAGCCCAAGTTACCGAAAATCTACATGTTTTTTTTTTTTATCATATAGTTTAAATGATATATTTTAAAGACATATATACATATAAATTAATTATAGCCTTGTAAATTATTGGACACACAAATTTTGCTTAAAATGCTTAAGAGTATAGATTTATCCACTAAATGTAAACGTAAAGGCAATTAAAATTTAGTCATTGGTGTTTACCTGTTCTCATAAATGCTGAACAATCCACCGGCATGAATCAAATCATAAGTTCTTGGATACGTAGAGAATCCTTCACACCAATCTTGATAAGTCCCTATAAATCCTCGTTCAAAAATAACCCCTAATGTTTGCTTCTCGGCATCCACAGGAACCACATTCATAACCCAAGATGGATATTTCATCATTGCCGCAGCAAATCCTCCGAGGTAAGCATTCATGTCCATTATGTTCCTGAATCTTCCCTTTGAAAGCTCAGGCATTATCTGTTTGTAATATGCTATTCTCTCCTTCCACACTTCATTGTCTTCTCTGAATTTCTCAGCATTGGTGTCCGGTATAGTTCCCCGGATTATCCTAGGTGGGACCGCAAAAGCTCGGTCAGGCCAATCCTCCAATGCACCGCCTGCGAATTCGTCTGGACTGTTTGCTTCTGGCAATGGTGTTACACAAGATTCCAAGTCTTTGTACCTATTGTCAAAAAAATCACCATCAAGTTTCTGAAAATATATACATTTTCCGTTTAGTGTAAGAGGTTTCAGCAATTTATTTCTGATTTTTTTTTTGCCAATATTCCATAGAAAACTGACACAAAAGGCAGAAACAAATTGCTAAAACATCTTATTCTAAACGGACGTATCAAAACTTTCGGTGCAAAATTCAAGTTTAATCGCATAAATGTTTTATATGAATGCGTATAAATCACGAAATTTAGATATTAACTCTAAAATTTGTTTTAAGATAATTTTTTTTACAAATACTCTAAATTTAAAAATGTTTTTTAACAAAATATTAAGGTTAATATCTGAATTTCTTGATTTATGCGCATATATATAAAACATCTAATAATACGAAACAAATGGAGTAAATATAATGCTTTTAGGAGGGGTTGAGATTGTTACCAAGCAAAATCGGGTAGATCTGATTTACTGCATAGAGGAGGAGATTTGTGAACTCGTTTGAGTTTGTTACACTCAATGTGATTTATGGGCTTTTGCCAAATTGATAAATCACCTTTTTCTGTAACTTTCTTCCAACAAAGACTTCTTGCTGCATCTTCTATAGAATCTTGCTCTTGCTTTAAATCCTCTTGTGATCTTTCCCAGCCTTTCCAGTATTTCTTCCAGTTGATCGGTGGACCCGAAAGGATCCAATAACCGCCCGGTCTTAAAACCCGGTCCACTTCGGTCAAGTACAAACCATCTACACATATCCAATTCTTTTTTTGGTTATTTACTACAACAATCAAGAAACCTTATGAAAACAAAATCAAGAAAATTTGATTTACCGTTCTGAAACCAAGGAATCAAACAACGAGAACAGTGAGCAAGATCAAAAGCTCTAGCTGGATAAGGAAGCCTTCTTGATCCCATAATCCCGATAATCGCAGGAACTCCACGTTCCAACGCAAATTGAACTTGAGCTTCATGTGTGTCTCTTGGAGCAAATGACATAGCCACAATATCTCTCTTCAACAAGTAAGCACCAAAACTCGCCACCTAAACAACCAATCAAGAAGTCGTATTTTAATATAAGGTTTGGTTTTATTAAGAAAAAAAAAAACAAGTCAAAGATAGATACATCTAAAATGCTAATAAGAAATAAAAACTTACACCACATCCAGTATCAATAGCTGTTCTAATGGCTCCATCAGTAAGAGGAATGAGTCTAGCAATATCATCAATGTAAGCATCAGCTCCACGTGGAAACATTGTGCCACCACCAGGGAATCTAAATCTTTCACCTTCGACTTGAATCCAATTCTGAATAGCTTTCTCAATACTTAGCTCTTTGTGTGGAATGTTGTCGTACCAAGCATAGTCTCTACTTTGAGGCCATTTGAATGGAATCTTGTAGTTTGGTGGAGGAGGAATCAAACAATAAAGAAGCTCATCTTTAGAAGGACAATGTCTCTCTCTGTATTTCATCATGTTCCTATCGAATCTTCTTCCTCTTTCTCGATCTTCACATGGAGTGTACTCACTCAAAGACATGTCACATGGCTCAAAATACTTCACCGTTTGATTAGTAATCTTCAGCTCGAGTTTGTGATGGCTTTCGAAATCTAACTCAACTGGTTCTGTGGATGACAAAGAGGAGAGATTATCATCATCATTAGAAGAAGGATTTGTTTGAGTCTGAGTAGTCTGAGCCCGAGTGGTTGTTGTTGTTTCATCACATCCCATTCTTGAGTAAGCCTCCGAGGAAGAAGTTGGGACAGTGTTGTTTTGCCAAGATCCAAGAACATAAGACAATATGCAAAGTCCACTTACACAAAGAATCCAAGTGAGTCTCTTTCTCTTTGCTTCCGCAAGGTGATGACTACTGTTCTCTTTCGCCATTTTCTGCATAGAGATGAAGCAAAAGAGTACTTGCAACTTTTTTTTCTGATAATAGTAACACAGAAAAGCTAAAATCTTTTGTAAGGTGGTGGAAATTTTATAAAAAAAATCAACGTAAAAAATGTTTTAAAAATTGTAAAAAAGGTTATTGGAGCTCGAAGCACGAGAAAAAGGGATCCACCATCACAAGAAATCAAATTTGTCCGAATTTATTGTAATAAAAAAGGACAATTGGTGTCCGTTCTTTAGCAAAAAGCCAAGAACCACACTTATTATTAGAAGTGGTCTTAAAGAGAGGGAAAATATATAAATTTTGAGATAAAGTTGGAGGCTGAATAGCCTCATTTTTCGTTTTGCCATGTCTCCATGTAGTTGAAAATATAAAAAATTGGAATCTTTACAGGTAAAAAAAGTCAAGATAAGAAAGAAAAATTCGTAAAATAATTCACGTGGTACCCATAACTTTGGACTCAAAGAATTAATTATTAGGCTCTTGTTCTATTCAATTTCTGTAATTGATACAGTACTATATAAAAGGATAATAAATGGGGCATAGTATTCTAGACAGGTCGAGCATAATGTCAGGGTTTTCATGTCCCACAAGACCAATGCTAGATTTGTCGACTGGCTACAAGAATTCTTCACACGTGACATACATATATTCATGTATACAGAGATATTTTTATCTAAACATAGATGAATATCTAGAGAGGTATGGTTCGTGGGTGTTTGATAAGCATCGTTTATGATTACCTCAAGGGCAAGGCAATTTAGTGTTATGAATTGCTCTTTTTTGAATCTCTTCCTTCTTGTTTCGTGATTGTAGAGAGACATGTTTTGTCTTTTCTGTTGTATATTCGGTCAGTTATTACCAAATCTGATCACATCTAATATGGGCCAAACCAAAATGATGACCAATCGTTAATGTCATGTAGTAGACCCATTCGTTTTCAGTTTTGGATGCAAATGCGTTTATACACTTAGATGCAAAAATGTCAAAAGCATCTTAAAGTATATATTGACATATATTGACAATCATGCATTTTTAAAATTAGACTTACATGGGTATAGTCATTGGATAAAAACTAAATCCACTAATTCTTATACCAATTCCTTACCAATATCCCTAAAGGAAAATCCTGAATTGGATTAGTAGCTTCTCCTTGATGTCTCTCACGATTTCTCTCAGCGCTTGTGGTGAATGAGTTACTTCCAGCTAAGAATAGCATGAGGAAGTGCATAGCCTTCATATATAGGAACCGTGTGACTAACTCCATCACAAGAATCTAACACAATGCCTTATACAAACCAAATCTTCCAGATAAACCAAACATTTCCCATCTAAAGAATTATCCAAATATGAGCGAAACACAATAAAGCGAAAACGCAGCTTGAATGGTAACATACATAGCAGGGACATCAAAAGCTTCAAACATGATCTGAGTCATCTTCTCTCTGTTGGCTTTAGGGTTAAGAGGAGCTACAGTAAAAAGACAAGGGTGTTCTTCAGGATCAACACGAAGCTCGTTGTAGAACGTATGATGCCAAATCTTCTCCATATCATCCTAATCTGACTATACCATGTTCAATGGGATATTTCAAGGTTAGGTATACCTCTTTCCAATTGAACGTCATTGCCAACATAAGCATATATATATGTCCCAGTCCTACCATAACACCAGCATGTCTAGGAAAACTGCTACCTGAAAACCCAGCCTATCACCGACTGAAACAGATTTATGTAGACTTGATCAACAAGCTAAGAAGAAAAGATGAGAAGGCAAAAGAAGCTTTACCTTGACCATTCCTTCTGCTAATATTTAAGATTATAAACCAAAATACATGCTAAGCGAATTGGGAAATTACATGAGGTATGAGTTGGATCAAAATCACAGAGTGGTAAGTATAAAAGTAAAAGATCATCTTGTGGAACAACATAGAGTGATCATCATCAAGTGAAAACCAAGTTTTTCCAATGTAGCAAAGACGAGACTGAAGAAAAAATTGAAAAGGAAGAAGAGAAAGGGAAACTTCAATTGGCGGAGAAAAGCTAAGGCAGAGATGAGAATGAGAGTTTATGCATAACTTTGAATTTGGGATTGAGATGAATTGCTTTACTTGCTTTTGGGTCAAATTATTCAAACTCTAGGATAATAAAAAGTATGCGCCTAAAGTGACAAATTTTAATACACAACCCATAATTCCAAATTCAGAACAATCCAATTTAACGACGATATGATCTAGTTAAGCAAATGAGAATATGAAAGCTTGTCTCCAAAACTTGTAAACTTGTGCACAAGTAAAAATAAAATCTCAAACAAAAAAAAGGAACAAGGGATAGCCAGAGTTTTGCAACACCGGTAGATTTGGTCCATAAAACGAAACTACCATTCAAAAGACAAGAGATAGAAGCTAAGATGAGGATATTAGTATTCATTCTTCCTCCACGATCTTGCTTTTCTCGCTAACATAGATACCGTCAAGAAACTTCCTGATATCCTTCTTCTTCACGTGACATTTCTGCACAATCACAACAATCCATAAATGATTACAACAAGACCATACACAAGTAAACCAATCACTGAAATGATCCTTTTGGCTTCACTATGCAAAAATATGATCCCAAACTCAAACATCAACCAAAAACCTTTTCAAACACAATGCTAAAGCTTAAGAAGCCAAACAATATGCAAACTAGGCAAAGTTTACTTATCATTTTCTAGTCACTGTTGAAGAAGTCTATGAAAGAACTATATCGATAAACTTTTTCACTTCAATTTCAGATTGTAATATCAGTTATAAATGAACAAACCATTATGCAATGATACCAAACTCAAACACCAAATAAAACTCTGAACCATATCTCCTATCTAACAATCTCTCAAGCATTTAGTCCCTAGAAAATGCAGACTTGGCTAAGCAAGTCCTAAAACTCTTTGGTATCTACTAGTTAGAGAGAGTACCTGGTTGATAAGAGCGCATGACCTTGAGACGAGCTCGATATCGTTACCATCAAGAACAATCTCATCCTTCACCTTCTCAGATCGAACAATGGTTACACCATCCAACATCTCTACCTTCCTCACCTATTATTCCAATAAACACATTTCTATGTAAGCTCAATGTTCCCAAAATCACAAATCAATCATCGTCTTCCAACATTTTAGATCTACACGAAGCTATGAGAATCAAATCCAGAGATTAAAGAAAAGAAGCCAAACCTTCTTCTCGCCGAGGAAGTTACGGATCTCAATGGACTTTCCATCACCGCCGATGGAGGCGTTGATCGGAAAATGGGCGTACACGAACCTCATCTTGTATCGGAAACCTCTGGTAACACCGGAGATGAGATTATCAACGTGACTAAGAGCGGTTCTGATGGAGGCGCTGGTTTTGCGTGATCCAAACCACGAATCGATCTTAAGCTTCTTCTTCCCAGTCTCAGGATCCTTGATCAGCTGGAAATCGAGGTTGAGATGCTTGAAATCGCGAACAAGCTTCCCGCGAGGTCCTTCGACTTCGATCACTTTAGCGTGAACCTTGATGGTAACGCTGTCGGGGATGTCCATCGTTTCTGAAGAAAGAATCGTCTTCATCTTCTCCGACCTTAGATTTGCTCTCTCTGACGGCTCTCACTGTGCAGAAACCCTAGAAAATGTTTTTTCAGCGGCGTTTTAAGAGGTATAAAGAAACACAGAAACCCTAAAACAATGATCATGTGGGCTTATAAAAAATTTAGCCCACTAAAATCGTGCCCAGAACAAAAAATCAAAAAATGAGAAAAATAAGCCCATGGCCCGTTAAAAAATATTGGGTTGGAATGACGGAAGTGGCGCGAAAATTTTACTTAGTTACCTCCCGAATGAGAAATATCATTTTCACATTTCATTTATTATAAAAAAAGTTTATTCCAATTTGTGAAAATGATATTTCTTTTCACCTAAATAATTCTTCTTTTTTTGTTATAAACCCAAAATAATTTTGTGTTTGATGAATCATAGTAGATAAATGTAACACCAGCTAGAGCTAGTGTTAATCCAAAAATTTAGGATCTTTTTTTTTTAGTTTTTGGTTAAACATTAAGATCTTATTACAAGTTAGCTGCGAGGACATCAAATCGACTCAAACTTGTCATATTCTTGTCTTCACAACCTTTAGAACAGAGCCTAAAAAGTTACATTTATCTTTTAAGAATAAAATGTACTGGTGATGCTTATGATAATTTTCATAATCGATATTAACTATTCCTCTGATGATACTTGATTTACGTCTCTAGATTCTGGTACAACCCACCGGTTTAATCGTCTCAACGACGTAGACACCTAAAACATTTTGGCAACAAACTGTATAAGCACCAAAACATAGCTTGCTTGAACACACTACTTATTATGTTACGAACTAATTTTTTAAGAAAATTTTAATTCATTCAAAAATATATAGAATCTAACCTGTTGATCCCAATCTGTTCTCAGAGTCATGACGGTAAGTATACAAGTCTGAACGAAAATTCCAAAGAGCATGCCGATCCACACACCCTAAAATTTAGAGAAAATAATATTTTTTTGTTAATTCTATTTAATTATTAGTACAATTTTTTGTTCCAAGACCCTGGCAATAATAAAGATGGAGAAAATTAGTAAAAAATTGTAAAGGAAAGCAAACTTACTTTCACTTGCAAACCAACTTCGTAACCAAGGATAATACCAATAGGGATTCCAACAAGGTAATAGCAAGCAAGGTTAACGTAAGTAACATATCCTTGCCGATCTTTGTTTTGCTTTCTCTCTGACGGCTCTCTGGTTTGATCAAAGAAACCCTAGAACAATGTTTTCTCGGCGCCGTTTTAAAAGGTATAAAAGAAAAACAAAAACCCTAAAACAATGTTCATTTGGTGGGCTTATCAAAATTGGGCCCACTAATATCGTGCCCAGAAAAAAAATCTCAGAAATGAGGAAAATATATCACTAGCAATAGGCCTATGTCACGTTAAAAATATTGGGTTGGAGTTAAGCCTTTTTAACAGTCTCTAATGATGGAAGTGTGGCGCCAAAAATATATTGTGTAGTTTTTGTGCTAAAATGTGATTATGACATTTTGGTACCAAAATATAATTGCAATATGTTTTTCTATAATTTAAATTGGAATGTTCTTCAAACGTCATTAATATTCTCATAGAAAAAACAATTGTCCCACCAAAAAAATGTTTTGCTCTCTCTGCCTCTCTCTCGCTCTCTCGCCGGCGGCTTTTAGAGAAAGAAAGGGTAGAAGAAACCCTAGGGTTTCTTATATGTAAATGAGTTAGTCTGTGGGCTGGCCTGGTCCATTTGGAAGCAGTCCGTTTTCGGCTAGACCCAATAATAATTTTTTTTTGCTTTAAAGACAAAAAAAAAACTCAACCTAACAATATTAGATTAAATTATGAGTATATAATACTTTATAATCTTATTAGATAAAGTTTGATTTTTAAAAGTTAGTAGTTACATTATATATTTCAATTTGTGTTGATTTAAAATAATTTTTTATATTTTTGAATTTTCTTCTATAGTTAGTAGGTAAGATCAATATATGCTATTTATTTTCCTAATATTTCTAATTTAATGGTTGAATTTTTAGATTGTTTATTTTATTTATATTTCTATCTTTGAATTATCTAAGACTCATATATTATCGTGTTTATAGTTTTCTATTCTTTTTAGTTACGTAAAATTAATTTATTTTAATTTCTCAACTTTTAGTTTATTGGTTGGTCATAAACACATTCTAATCAAGTAGTTTTTATTTATTTTAATTTTTTTATAAATACATCATAAATTATTGCTATATGATATAATTTTTTATTCAAAATATTCTTTAAGTCAAAAAATTTAGTGGTTAAAGAAACCATGCAAAAGTAAAAATGAAGAGACATATAGTTGGACATAAAAAAAATAAGACATATAATTGGATTAATGTATTCATAGATACATTTTGTAGGTGGTGATAGAAAACATATTTCAATAGTAAAATATGATTGGATTGAAATGGATAGGCTTAATGTGTTCATAGATACATTTTCTAGTTGTAATGTAGATAGTAGATTTGTAAATGGATTGAAATAAGCTTACCGATGATTTGCATGTAAAACATTTTCTCAAGTAGTAGAATCATTTAAACGAAATTGCGAAACTACTTTCTCGAGATTTGGCAATAAAAATAATGATGAATATATGGCAAAAGTTTTGAAGATTGGTAATTTAAATGTACTAGTTTATTGTAATAAATCTTACAATAAATTTAAAATATAGAGATGCAAATGAGTTAAAGTAAAATGAATATATAAATGACTTTTTTTTGTATCGAAGAATATATATATATATATATATATATATATATATATATATATATATATATAATTATCTTCTCTAACTAAAAGATTATCTATATATTTTCAAAGAATTTAATTATAAAATTTTAAAATCTGCACATCGGACGGTCCTAATCTACTCTAATATAATTTTTAGTTAAATAATTTAACAACAAGATCCATCATTGTGATTTGTGAATCATTTTTTGTCAATAATAAATTGATTAAAACTAAACATGATGTACAAAGTTTACATAATTAATTACATATAGATCAAAATTTGCACATCATGTCTTTTTTTCAGCGCACATAATATCTTCGTCTTTGACTTTGAATTACATGGAATGAAAGAAAGACCTGAAAGAAAGAAAGAAAAAAATCTTCGTATTTTAATGTATTTTTCTAGTATGTTGAGAATACTTTGGTCCACTGGTGCATACACCAATTTCTCTGATTTCTGATTTGCTATCTCTATCGAATTTGTTGTCTTTGGTTTGATTCAAGGTAGAAACCCTAAGAAAAGGTTTTGTCGACGGCGTTTTAAAAATATATGAAATACAAAACCCTAAACAATGTTAATGTGGGCTTATTAAAACTTAGCCCACTAAATCGTCCAAAAAAAACGCAAAATGATATATATATATAACACTCAAATATTCGGTTGGAATTAGAAAAAATGCTATTTAAATCCTATACAAACCACAAACATGTCGAAGTCTGGAAAATATATCAATTGGGTGTTTTCTAACGGTTTTCAATGTCCAAATGAAAAATGAAAAATGAAGCGAATAATGGAACCATGAATTTGATAAGGATATAACCGAAAAATGGTAAAATAATAGAAATCCAAAATCTGAAAACCAATGAAAAGGCTAAGTGTTTAGTGAAAGTATTCATGTTAGAGAATTAGAGGTTTTTGTAGAATTTTACCTCTCTAGGCTAGGAACTGGACCATGCGTTCGTGGGTCAGAACTAATAATCAGATCGATAAGCACTTGATCGATACAAAGCATTTGAGTGTGTAATATGAATCACTTGTACTAAAATTAAATATATAAAAAATGGTCACTAAATTCCTCAACTTTTGCAATTTTGCAAAATTATTCCTCAACATTCACGTTTGCAGTCAATTCCCCATGATTGCATTGACTACAAAAAAAATAAGTTCATAAAAAGTCAGCGTTAAACTTTTACACACTTTTTCTCAAGCTCACTTTGCTCTGCCTCTCGGGTTCTCTCTGCTTAGCTCAATCCAAATACGGCGACAAAACCCTAGGTTTTATTGAAAAAACAACAGAAACCGAGAATGTAAATGTGGGTTTAAAAACGCAGCCCATTCTTAGCCGAAGAAAAGCCCAAACCCAGGAAAGATCCAAAAAAATATTATTGACAATAAGCCCTTAGATACAATAATCACTTGATCAGCTAAAGTAAGCATTGGCATTCGGGTTGTCGATTGGGTCCGTTCAGAATTTAATAGATACGGTTAATTCGGATAAGTTTAGTATCCATCGAGTTTGTATGACTATTTGGTTCAATTTCGGAGTAAGTAAAGCTAAGCATTATGATACTCGGACCGGATTCAGGTAAAATTCGATCGGGTTCGGGTTTTTTAGATAAATGTGTTTAGGACCCCATTAAATACAAAAAATGGCTATGTTTCAGTTCGGGTCCTATCAGATTCGGGTATTTTGTACCAAATTGTACCAGGTGCCTGAACGGGTATCTGAATACTCACAATATTTGTATGTTTTTCATAAATTTGGGTTAAACTTCATGTATTTTGCTAGATCTTGGGTATAGTCGGATACAAACTCAGGTATACTCTTGGGTAACCGGATATCCGTTCCGGTCTTCTATATTCATAACTTCCTCTCTTTCCGAGACATCCAATTATCCAGACCCGAACCAATATTCACGGGTAGACATGTACAAGACCCAGAAAGATAATTTGGTCATACTCAAAATCGATCCAAACCGTTTTTGATCGATTCCGGTTTGGATTTTCAGATTTTGGATTTTTTGTCCAGGCTTACGGGAAGGTGTCGAGTTCGGGTTAGATTCTGTTTGATTAGCGGAAAAAAAAAACTAAAATATCGTTTAATTTTAATAAAATTTGGTTAAATTTTGCAAATTATTTTTTAATTTTTACAACTATATAACTAAGAAATTTTGGATATTTTGGTTATTTTTGATATTTGGTATTTTTGGTATAAAATTATAACTAATATTTTGGATAATTGATTTTATTTCGGGTTTTCGAGTATTCTATTCAATTTTTGGGTTTGGATAGAAACATTTATTTTGGTTCCAGTCCGGGTTTTTGGTTTTATGCCTTGGCAGTCCGGTCTAAGCAAAAGACTCGGAGAAACAGAAGTAAATTAGCATTGATAGAGAAAAAAAACCAACAAAGCCAACTTCCATGGAGACATCATCCAATTCTACGATGAATTTGAAAATTATAGAAAACTCTCTAACAGTAGTTTAGAATCGTTCATTTGTTTACTTTCTATGATTTTAGTAAAGTCATCAAAATTCTTTATAAATTAGGAACTAATAACACTCTCTTACAGAATCCTAGATGTGGATGTTAATGTGGTTTAAAACTGAGCCCAACCCTAGCCCAATAAAAGCCCACGCTTAGGAAAGACCCGAAACAAATTTATTGGCAATAAGGATAAGATTATACGCGAATTAATATAATCACTTGATAAGCAAAAAGGGTGGGCAATAAATCTGTAGCTCGAAAAAAACAAACCGAAATAAATAGTTTGGTTTAGTCTAAAAACCTATTTGGTTGTTATTTTTATTAGGTTTTCGATTTAGGTTTGATTTGGTTAAAACCCATTAAACCGAATGGTTTTACTGGTTTTTGATTAAAGGATAATTATATATTATATATAATTATATTATCTTGTTTATATTATGATTAGTTTATATTATGATTAGTAATAGTATCTTTATTGGATTTATAATTATTGATCTCTTAGTAATTTATAATTAATGATATATTATTTTACATTACATTTACTTTTATTTATGCATCAAACTTATATAGTTTTTGGAAAAATATAGAATAACCTACAAAAACCGGAACCAAACCAAAATACATATGTTTTTATATGGTTTCCATTTTTATGAAACCAAAAAACCTTAAACACGTAAAAAACCGAACCGAAAAAACCGAATTACATACGGTTTCTATATGGTTTCAGTTTTTGTAAAACCAAAAATCCGTAATACCGAAAATACCAAACTGAAACCAAACAAAAAAATCGTACGCCCCTCCCTACAAAAGTAAATTATGGTCATTGAGTTTCGGATCGGACTCGGTTTGGAAATTTTTGGATTTGGGTAATTCAAATAGAAGAGTTTAGTACTCATTCGAGTTTTTTGAATATTCGATTCGATTTGGATTCAGATAGGTAGGACATTCGGGTACTCGGGTCAGGTTCGAATCTTTCGGGTAAAAGAGTTGAGAACCCAATAGAGTAAATACCAAAAAATTGGTTCTGTTCAGATCTGGTCGAGTTTAGATTTTCAAAACATGTAAATACCCAAAAAAAATTGAATACTTATCGGTTTAGGTATTTTGTACCTCACTAAACATGATACATGAAGGGGAATTCTACTATATATATTGGGTTAAATTTTGAGTATTTGCTAGATTTGGGTAATAATCGGATATAAAACTTGAAAAATATACAATTATTTTGGGTATTTGAATATCAGGTTAATCGAGTACCAATATTTTGGGTATTCGGATACATGTTCGGGTAATCGGGTACGTGTTCGGATATCAGATAATATCCAAGCCAATATCCACAAGTAGACATGTACATGACCGAGTATGATAATTTGGTCATACCCATAATCGACCCAACCCAATTTTTCGGGTTGGTTCCGGTTCGAATTTGGGTCCATGTTTTTTGCCCAGGCCAACGGGTAGGTGTTAGGGTCGGGTTGGATTCGGTTTGGCTTTTGGAAAGAAAAAACGAAAAATTTGTTAGATTTTATAAAATTTGGTTCAGTTTTTCAAAAAAATTATATAATGTTGACAAATATAACTAAAGATTTTCGGATGTTTTTTTTGTTATTTAGTATTTTTAAATATAAATTCACAATTAAATATAACTTATAATTTTGGATAAATAATTTTATTTCGAGTTTTTGGATATTGTTCGATTTTGGGTTCGACTCGGATATTCGGGTAGAAATATTTAGAATCTGTTCGAAATTAATGACTATTTCCAGTTAGGATTCGGACCAGAGTTCTTGATTCAGTTTAATTTCGGTTCAGGTTTCAACTTTTATGCCAAGGCCTAAGTAAAGATTCGGAAAAACATAAGTAACATAGCAGAGGAGAAGCAGCATCAGCATCCATTTCCGACGAATGTTGAATTGAGATTTAAGCGGGTTAGGTTTAGAAAAACTGGGATTCTTTTGCTTTCCAAAACATAAAAGTAGTGGTGTTATTATCAGTGTTATTGAAGATAATAAAGCATTTCTTTAGTTTAGTTGCTTGAATAAAGAAAAAGTTTATATATTGGACAAACTTTAAAATTGTAAGCACACACAACTTAATATATAGATTTTTTTTTAATTCAACATATTGGATTATGATGGTTGGATTATGATGGTCTGAAATTCAAAAACATTCCGAGAAGATGTAAATTGGCAAATGAGTGAGAAGTAAAATTGTCTCCAAAACTTGTTGCATAAGTTGATAAATTCTCGAAAGAAAAAAAGGCAAACTAACGTTCAAAAGACAAGAAAGAGGAGCTATGAGGAGGATATGAGTATTCATTCTTCCTCCACGATCTTGCTTTTCTCGCTAACATAGATACCATCAAGGAACTTCCTGATATCCTTCTTCTTCACATGACATTTCTGCACAGTTACAAAAACCATAGCAATTACACAAGACAGTACAACATAAACAATCAAGTCAGTTTAACAACAATGCAATATGTGACAACAAATTCAGACTTTCAACCAACAATCCTTATAATCACAATTGCTCATGCTTTCCTTCACACAACAATATGCAAAACACGACCAAGTTAGCTGATGAAAGGATTTATATGCTCATGCTTTATCAGACTCTATCGGCTGTGATGGAAAGATCATTAAACATACTAGTTAAGGAGTACAGTACCTGGTTGATCAGAGCACAAGACCTTGAGACGAGCTCAATATCGTTACCATCAAGAACAATCTCATCCTTGACCTTCTCAGATCGAACAATGGTTACACCATCCAACATCTCTACCTTCCTCACCTAATGATCCAATAAACACATTTCTAAGTAAGTTCAATGTTCGCAAACTCAGAAATCAATCATAATCCAAGTATCAGAGCTAACATTATCGAATCAGTAATCAATGTTAACAACAACAAAGCTGAATCTAGAGGCAAACTATTTCAATTCGGAATCTACAGATTCAAAAATAAGACCAGACCTTCTTCTCGCCAAGGAAGTTACGGATCTCGATAGACTTGCCATCACCACCAATGGAGGCGTTGATCGGAAAATGGGCGTACACGAACCTCATCTTGTAACGGAAACCTCTGGTAACACCGGAGATCAGGTTATCAACGTGACTAAGAGCGGTTCTGATGGAAGCGCTGGTTTTGCGTGATCCAAACCACGAATCGATCTTAAGCTTCTTCTTCCCAGTCTCAGGGTCTTTGATCAGCTGGAAATCGAGGTTGAGATGCTTGAAATCGCGAACAAGCTTCCCGCGAGGTCCTTCGACTTCGATCACTTTAGCGTGAACCTTGATGGTAACACTATCGGGGATGTCCATCGTTTCTGAAGAAAGAATCGTCTTCATTTTCTCCGATTTCTGATTTGCTCTCTCTGACGAATCTGCTGTCTTTAGTTTGATCAGAGGCAGAAACCCTAAAATTATGGTGTAGTCGGCGGCGTTTTAAAGATGAGACACAGAAGCCCTAAAAAAATTGTCAATGTGGGCTTATTAAAAAACTCAGCCCACTAAAATCGTGCCCAGGAAAAAAACGCAAAAATGATAAAAAAAAAATATATATCACTAGTAATAAGCCCATGGCTCGTTAAGAATATTGGGTTGGTATTAGGCCTTTTTAACATTGTGTAATGATGGAAGTACGTCTGGGCAAATAAACCGAACCGAATGTACCGAACCGAAACCGAAGCAAAAAGAACCGAACCGAGAACCGAAAATTTGAAAATAACCGAATGGATACTAAATTTTATAACCGAAATAATCGTAACCGAATCGGTATCGAACCGAAATATTTCGGGTAACCGAAATACCCGAAATACAATTATATTTTCAAAATAATTAGTTATTTATAGATCAAATAATCAAAAATACTTGAAAATATATATAAAAATAGTAAAAATACTCGAAAATAACCGAAATATATCAAAAAAATATCCGAAAATACTCAAAAATAACCGAAATATCCGAATGGATACTAAATTTTAAAACCGAAAGAACCAAAACCGAACCGAAATTTCAAAATATCTGAATGGATACTAAATTTTAGAACCGAAAAAACCGAAACCGAATGGACCCAACCGATAACCGAACGGATAACCGAAAGCCCAGGCCTAGATGGAAGTGGTGTCAAAAATAAATTATGTGATTTCGGTGCTAAAATGTGATTATAACTTTTTGTGGAGGCTAACATTAGGAACATTGGCTACCGGAGAAACATTGAAATACCGACACATATTTTTTTGACTGCACTTTTTTTTTTTTTTAATAACTCAGGTGATCCTAAAATCTTTCTATGCCCAAAGACTAATCTTGGGGCCCGGGGAAACCATGTTAAATTGCTCGAACCCCGGTGGCCAATGTTACTCGAACCCAGATGGCGGGAATTACCTCCCTATACCACTGGAGCAAGGCGACTTGGTTCTTTGACTGCACTTATGCGAAATGCATTTAGCGTTTATATATTACTCTTGCCAACCTTCTTTCCGAGCAGAGAAATGGAAGAGAGTTCTTGAATAAACATGATATCTCACCTATATATATATTTATTTATTTTGTTATAAATTCAAAATAATTTTGTGTTTGATGAATCATAGCTAAATGTAACACTAGCTAGTGTTATTTTATTTTATTTTGGGTTAAAAAAATAGGATCTTATTACAAAGTTAGCTGCGAGGACATCAAATCGACTCAAACTTGTCATATTCTTGTCTTCACAACCTTTAGAACAGAGCCTAAAAAGTTACATTTATCTTTTAAGAATAAAATATACTGGTGATGCTTATGACAATTTTCATAATCGAAATTAACTATTCCTCTGATGGTACTTGGTTTACGTCTCTAGATTCTGGTACAACCCACCGGTTTAAACGTCTCAACGAAGTAGACACCTAAAATTTTTGGCAACAAACTGTATAAGCACCAAAAACATAGCTTGCTTGAACACACTACTTATTATGTTACGAGCAAACTTTTTAAAAAGATTTAAATTCATTCAAAAAAATATAGTATCTAACCTGTTGATCCCAATCTGTTCGCAGAGTCATGACGGTAAGCACACAAGTCTGAACGAAAATTCCAAAGAGCATGCCGATCCACACACCCTAAAATTTAGAGAAAATAATTTTTTTTTGTTAATTCTATTAATTATTAGTACAATTTTTTGTTTCCAAGACCATGGCAATAATAAAGATGGAGAAAATTAGTAAAAATTTGTAAAGGAAATCAAACTTACTTTGACTTGCAAACCAAAGACGTAACCAAGGATAATACCAATTGGAATTCCGACTAGGTAATAGCAAGCAAGGTTAACGTAAGTAACATATCCTTGCCATCCCGCTCCGACCGCAACTCCTGTTAAGGTTTAAACCGATTCAAGACACATAATAGTTCAAATGTCGGTTCAAATTCGATACTATAATAACGATCACGCATCAACTAGCTATAATGTGTACCAGAGAGAACGGGTTGAACACTATTCATGAGGATGGAAAAGGCTAAAAGTGGAGAAAGATCAGCAACTTCGGCTGCGACAGCTTCACTTGTAGTGAAAATGTAGGAAACTCTTCCTCTTAGAAACAAGAAGAGGAAAAATAGAACTATTCCTATAGAGAGTGATGTGAAAACCGCTGTCAGTGTTGCAAACTTGGCTCCTTTTGGGTTTCCACTACCGAGTTCGTTGGAGACTCTTACACTAAAGAAAAAAAGAAGAAGACGGATAAATAAATAGTATCAATAAAGTGAAGTGTATATGTATCAATTAATATATGTATGCACCTTGCAGCTGCCAAAAACCCAAGTGCTATCATCATCTCCAATCCATTTATGTTGAGGCTACAAAAAAATGGAAAAGAAGAGTCGATTTACACATACCCTATTTTAAAAGAGTCAAGTAAATAAAATGTATAGGTGTGTATTGGTTATGGTTATGGAGACCAGAAGAGATAGAGATGGTGAATTGTTTTTAGTTTACCAGATTGCTAGTGCATCAAGAGCCACTTCTGCGTTTTTCAAATTTCCAGTGAGCAGAACCAAGATCGAGTTGTACCATAGTTCCAAGCTGTCCAAAATAACGGCCACAAAGTGATGATAATTATTGTGATATTATAAAATTCTCAATATGCGTACATGTAAATATAGTTTAAAGACTTAAGAGCATGTGGTTTTGACTTGACTCTTACTAATTTAGAAACTTCATATCACCTACATGTAAAGCTATTCATATGAACTTTCATTTGTAACCAAAACTTTAGGATCAAATCCTAGACTAGTTGATAACTATATGGTTTGCTGCTTAAAAACTATATGAAACCTTACCAAAGCATTCCACCGGAAGACATAGATAGTTTGAAGACAGGCCATAAATCTTTGAAGGCCAACATAGTGAATCCTCTCCATGTGTCCTTACACCCACCGCACGTGACAAACAAGAGTTGCGCAATGTTAGGCAACCAGAACGCAACTAGAGTAGAGGTCATAGCACCAGTGATCCCGAAATTGAAATGAACCATTAGTAGCCACGACAAGAAGACATGGACCCCTAAGGAGACAGCAGCCACGTAGGCAATGATCTTGTTCTTGCTCTGAGCTTGGAGGAACATTTGGCAAGTGAAGGAAGGCACAAAAGAGAAGTTGATGCCTATGACCCATAGGGCTATGATCCGAGCCACACGGACAATGCGTTCCTCTTGACCTAAGGCTAAGAGGATAGGGCCTGAAAAGATATAGACGGGCGTGAGGCAAATGGTACAACCTGTGAGGACGATCCATGACCTTTGGAGGTAGATCCCGAGCATATGATTTTGTTTAGCTCCGTAGGCTTGACCACATAGTGTTTCCAATGCACTGGCCATACCTAACTACAAACAAAACGAAAATCAGTAAACATGTAAATTAATCTCGTCCCTACCTTAGGTTGATACAAAAAAAAGAAAACATTTTTCTCATATTCCTTAAACATTATTAAATTTAGTCTAGTGATGTGACTTTAATTAAAAGATATATAGCCTTATATGTGAGAAAGTGTTCAATACTTTCTTTTTTTGTCTGAGAGTTCAATAATTAGATTCTCTTTTTTGGCTCTTTATGGCGCCCATTTTATGGCTAAAAAGCTTGGACAAAATTTGATATGATGGTCTTTTTGGATTTGTATACTGAAAACATGTAAAATATGAAATAACTTTTGATTTTCAGTGTGGAGAGTGGTTAGGCCTCCGAGGTGGACTGCCAATGAAAAATCTTGTCAAACTTGTCGACGGTCGACCCACAAACTTATCTACTAAATTACTTTTCCTACACCTTAATACAGTACAAAAGAAAGCCGCATACACATTTTAAATTACGAATAAGGATACTTTGATCTTATTTTATCCCCCACACAATCATCGAAATTTCTATAGCTAATTAACGTACTTCTTTAAGAAATTATATATTGTAACCTTTTGATGCAAAAGTTGAATTTGCTAGTTTCAAATTTTTACTATTACTATTGAACTTACAATTCTATTCAACCTAATTTAATTCGATAAATTTTAGAAAAAAACAGTGGAAAATACGAGAGAGGCTACGGATGATATGTAGTTATATAGATATATGTGGTTCGCAAGAAACCACATGATACGGCAATCAGTGTCGACTGTCAGCATTCACATGATATACCTTATTTCAATTATTCCTCAAAAAGAAATTTATAATCAGTAGCCTTTTTTATTTTCTTTAAATTCTGACGAACCGAAAACATGTTTTACTTTATTATTGAGTAATGTCATATTTAATACAACGTAGACCAGAGTTTTGGAAGAATTATATTTCTAATAATTTTCTCATTTGTTAGTCCATAATATTTAGTGAGCAACAAAAGGAATTGTTGAACAAAATAAAAAAAAGAAGGAATTATTCTTTACCCAAAAAGACTTATCATAATCATCATTTTTCTATAAGTTTTGTTTTGTTTCTATTTTCAGCAAGGTACCACAATTTATTGAATAGCTCTACATTTGTAAGCCAATCACTGATTGTCTGATTCACCGGTAAAGAGATTAATGAAAAGTTATTTCTAAACATTATGACAAATAAAAAACGCGTTTAATTTATTGATTGTCAGTAATAGTATTACGAACTTGATATGAGATTTCAATGTTGTGTTTTGATAGAAATGATTTAACTTATTAATTAATTAATCCATACTAATTGATTAGATTAAAAAAAAATTGAGACTAAGAAGTACTCACCAAGATACCATTACTAAACCGGAGGAGAACGGTGAAGGTGATAGAGTAAGCGGCCAACTCTATAGGACCAAGATGGCCGATGAAAGATTGACTTATTATTGAAACTCCGAACGTTGAGAATCTCGTGAAGATCGCCGGCGCCGCCACAACCCATAGCTTCTTTGATTCAATCCAAACCTTTTGCTTCAACCCTAACTCATCCTCTTCTTCTCCGCCGTTTGCCGCCGTCTTTTTTAGCAAAGCCGACGTGAGCTCTCCTCCTCCTCCGGCCATCGTGGATGGAGTCTCTGTTTGTATCTGATGGACCAGAGGGAAGGAGGAAATAAATAGAAGAGAGAAGGCAGAGAGAGAGAGAGGAGAGTGTTTGTGTATGAATTGGTTTATGAGAACAACTCTGTCTTCTTGTCTTTATAAATTAATGTTTTTTTGTTTGTTTAAATCATTTTTATCGGGAAACGAAAAGCCGTCTACGTCTCTTGTAGCAGCAAGTAGCAGTGAGTAGTAAAATATTTCATTTTATTGACCATTTATTTTTGACTAAAATTGCCTATAGTAAAAGAATTAATGGTCTATAAAATGAAAGATATTACTTAAAAATTAGTGGTTTAGTCAAGATTTTAGCTAAAAGTATATATAGTAAAAAAATTATCATGTAATATTTGATTCAACTACTTAAACAAAGTTAAAAAATACTAGAAAATAGCTGTAAATTTAAATATACATTAAAATTTGTAAAACATCGTATATAGTAAAATAATAAAAAATAAAAATTATTTAGCTCACATTCATAAACCCATAAAAAACAAGGATCAAGAATCGAACTATTATGTCACATTCTAGTGCTAACAACTAACAAGATTGGGCGAAAGACGTAAGCAATTACATTATTTTAGTGGATTAAGATTGTTATAACCAGAGAATTCCATAACCAATATTATTGTTCTTTTTGTGAAGTCTCGTTTAATTTAATCTTCTACATTCTGGTTCAACCCAACGGTTTAATATCCCAACTATTTTTCTGATCCAACAAGGGCTTGTTTTCTCTTTAAGAACCAAATTCTTTCTAGTCACTCACATTTAAAATGTGGTGGTTGCCCCTTCCCGATAGGCAGAGGGGATGCTTCCCTTTTAAAAAGTTTTATCGCGGGTTTGAGGATTTTAAAAATGTTAGAGGAGGATAGAATTCTAAAGAGTATATGTGTTAACATATTATTAGTGTTTATATATAATTTATATTTCCTCGCATTTCATTTATATAATTATTGTATTTTAGATTACCATAAGAATTATTATTATTCAGATTTTAAAAATAAGTTTTGTTTATTTACTTATTAAATTTTATTTTAAGTGAAATGCTTTCCATGGTTGATACCAATTTGGCTTTTAAATTTTTAATTAAATAATTGACCAAAAAATAGATATAAAATTGCAAATGACATTTAAAGATAAAAAGAAATTTATGCATATTTTTTATTTGGAATTTAGTCATACTACCATTTTTCCTCAAAAGCTTTTCATTTCTACCATTTCTGATTTTTTTTTTTTTTTGGATCTGCCACATTAGTATGGTAATGTGGGTATAATAAAACTTTTTTGCCCTTAGTTGTTGCGCCATGTGTGTGTTAGGAAAATGATAGCAGGAACTGATGGAGGGAAAATGGGGAGCAGCGATATTTAATGGAGACAATGATTTAACTGATTAAAAAATGTAAAGCATTAAGTTAATAGAGTGGCTTTAGGCCATTAATTATTAAGGACGTGGCTAGAGATTGTGAAAATTCATATCTGAAAACTGGAGAATTTATTTTAATCTTAAGAGTGTTTATGCAAGACAAAATTGAAGTGTGGTGGTTGCGAGAGGGACATTAAACGAAATGAGGTAACGATTTTTAAAAACCGTTATGTTGGTTGAGTGTTATAAATGCAACAATACGATTTGTAAATGGTGGGGAAAATGTATAAATAGCTGTTGAAAATTTAAAACTAATGTTTACTTGTCGTTTGCGTGGACATGTTTCAATGGACGAATATGTTATGGTACTAGTCGGTGAGTGAGAATGTAAAGAGGGTGTATTTGGCGTTTTCAGGTGTCGGACATGAAATATGCAAAGTGTGTGGATGTAGGAGAAGAAGACAAGTTTATAGATTTGGAAAAGAAAATCACGAAAGTGTTTGGGATTGACACGAAGAGAACGAAAATGGAGCTCAGTTTTTGGTACGAAGGGGGAGACACAGTGTTTACGCAATAAAAGATGCCGCCTGTTTCGGTGGACAGAGAGAATGCATTGTCAAAATTCAAAAATATAAGGTTAGAGGGGGATTAACATGTATTTAACTTTAGCAGAACACAAGGAAGAATTGCTTGTGGCGGTAAGACCAGGAGGAAGCTATAATTTTGATGAGAACGTTGTAAGAGCTGTAGCGATAGCGGATGCGGAACACAAGGCAACTAACCAGATGGTTCGAGAGCAAAAGGATGGTAATGAGTGTCTCTCATTGACGTATGAGGAGGTGGGGTTTTTAGAAGAAGTAGATGAGATAGATGATGTTTACAGGAAGAATGACACTGTAACGAGAACTAACCGTAAACGTGCAAGAGAAGTGGATAAAATCCACTTGTTGGACCATATTAGTGGAGGTGTGTTGGAGGCTACTAGAGATGATTCCGAAGAAACGGTGGTGAGTGATGAAAAGTCAGAAGATTATGATTTTGAGAACATGAGAAAATTGATTGTAAAAGAGTATCCAGCGGACTGAGATCCTTACAATCCTACGAGAGTCAGGAGTTGGTCTATTGATGAAGATGGATGAGAAGATGATGTAGAGGACGATGGCGGTAACTATGGACAGATGCAAAAAAAAAAAAAAAAAACTATGGACAGATGCAGGTTATGCGTAACACAACAGTCGTATTAGGAGGCATATTATCCTCGATAAGACGAAACAATGCAGCAGATGTTGGTGAATGGGTGGTTCATGAAGCTGGGGGCAGTGGACCAGACTTTGGGACAATGACCACCCATATGGGTCGAGGAAGTATGTCTCTCGTATGTTTTAAGCAATGGAGAGGAACATGACACGCGTAACACACCGTTCAGAGTAGGAAGCAAGTTAACCCTGATAGAACAAACCAATGCAGCAGATGATGGTGAAAGGGTGCATGGAGTTGATGAATGGGGACCAAAAGATGCACCAATTTCCATACAGTTGGGTCAAAGAATTTTGTCCCCATAAAGGTTAGCTATGGACATGAACATGTTAAGGTCCCGAGTAACACACATTTGGAAGTGGGTAGGAGTTTATCTCCGGCAGGACGAAACAATGCAGTATAAGAAATCGGAATGGCTGATCGGCGAAAACAAACCAAAGTTTGTGTTTTACCGTGTGTAGAGGTCTCTAAACAACATCTGGTGGACAAGTTTGCCGAAAAAACGAGCATTTAAGAACATGAAGCTAAAAAAAAGGGAGCAGAAACATGACGCCTAGAGGTAATTGAATTCTCTAAGGCTTCTAAGAGATCAAGCAAATACTCGGGTTTTGAGTAAGAATTGATATGCCCCTTGGCGGGTAGTAATCGGTGGCGTAAAGCCGTTTGGAAAGACGATCTGGATTAAATACATGGATAATTGGATCTCTTGGTTGTCAAGATACAAATGGTGTGGTTTTACCAGACGGAGATCTGGATTTACTCTTGGGGGCTTCATTTAATCTTCTTGTGAAAATCAAACAAAAGAAGATAAAGTAAAATCCAGTAGATGAGGACATAATTCAAGAAAAGTTAGAAATTAAACTAATCTACAACAACATCAATTGTGTGGACCAAAGTCGATGCCGAAAAATCGAAAAACAAAAATTATGAAACGTGAACAATTCGGGGACAAGATTTAGGAGTAACAGGTAATCGAGAAAGATGGAGGTGGATAAACATAAATTGGGGACTAAATTCGTTGAATGATGATTCAAATTCAGAGACTATATAAGAAGAAATGAACATGTAGACAAACAAAAGAAAACGAGAAAGCGTTGCTTTACTTGTCGTCTTTTCGAATTGTGGAAGATGAATAAGAAATAGAAACGGAAGTTATTAAAGACCGAAAAAGTAATTAACTCTTATTTAATCGATGAAAACGGAAAAAAATTTAATCTCAAAATCGTTTAAAGACACAATCAATGATGAAGAAAAAGAAATGGGAAAGTGACCAAGTGCACAAGTTAAATCCGAGATATATTTGGGTACCAACTGCTGCGCCAAATGCATGCAATTTGGTTATTCTACAACTCAAATATGGTAGATCTGAAAAGTATTGAACAGAAGTAATAGATATGAAATTAAATATGAAAATTGTAGTAGATTTGTTAGTTTTCTCTTTTTATTTCATAAAATGATATGAAAAAAGTTTTGTGGTTGTGAATTAGGATTATATATATATATATATATATAAATAAAAGTATTTGTAGAGAAGAAACCAAAACAAAGCTACGACAAACGGGGGCAACAAGCCTACGTAAGCAGTCATGTCACTGTGGTATTAAATGGTAACCGAGGAATCTCGCTGAATCTAGCTGAATATATTTGTGTTTTTTTTTATGGAATCTCGCTGAATAATTTAAAGTTCAAGTGGTAACTGTTGAATTTGGCTTTTTTTTTTAACTAATCAAACAAAATTTCTAAAATTATGAACTAGAGAAATGTTTCGCTGAAAGCAAATCGATACTGACAAGAAAACCAAATAGATCTTTAACATCATTACCGAAAGAACCGAAAACCAAATATTTTGGATACCTGAATGAAACCGAAATATAATTATATATCTAAAATATTAGTTAGCTTTATACCGAATAATAAAAGATCCAAATAACCAAAACATACTATACACTAAAAGTATTGGAAAATTTCCCGAAAATATCTGAAATGTTATTTGGGTAAAAACCGGAATTGAATTTTTTTTTGGTTCCTAATCAGCTTTCGATTCAAAAAAACCAAAATGCTCCTAAATACTTGGAACCGAACCGAATTTTAACCAAAATTCTAAAATAATCCAATGTATACTAAACTCGAGAAGCGAAATATCCAAAACCAAAAATTACAGAATTGAAACAGAACCAAATATTCGAACATCCAAGACTATCCACAAAATATCAAAAAAAAAACAAAAAATATCAAAAAGAATATCAAAAATTATTAGTTCTTTCAAAATCCACAAAAAGTTATTAGTTCCTAAAACAAACTTCAAATACATTATTCAAAAAGACATCAAAGTTTTCTAATGAAGTGCATCACATGTTTGTTGTTTGGTTCTCTCTCATTGTTTGCTTGTGTTTTATTTGTTGAAGGTTTGATTAATTCAATAAATCAAAGAATGAAGTGGATCTACTACAACAAAAGATCAAAAATTCCACAACAATTCCACGGATACAAATGATGTAACATGTATTTTTATCGCATGAATTCTTTGACAATTCCACAAATACATGTTACCATTTACTACCACAAAAAAATATAGTAACAACTGGAGAAAATTATATATATATATATACAGGAAAAAAACACAAATTTACGTATCTTATTAGTACTAACAATATTTTGGCTATGTTTACAGGTAAAGGAGACGATTTTAATTAGTTCTATACACATAATACGATAGAACAACAGAGAGAAAAAGAGTTAGGACTAACAATATATAACTCAAATTCGACCCTAAGCTGATTAAACTCGTGAGCTTAATTATATTCAGATAAAAATCTCTAAGCTAAAATTACATTCTATATAGACATCACAAGCATGCCATTGCAAACAAAAAATGGACAAATTTAAGACATATCAACAAAAACAGATGTGTATTCATAAAAAAAAAACAAAAACAAATGTATATTCTACTTAAACAAAAGAAAGCAAAAACAAATAACTATACCCCAAAAGAATATCATCATAATCTTTAAATACATCATATGTTAATTATTCCTCTGATGAAATTTGGTTTGCATCTCTAGATTCTGGTACAACCCACCGGTTTATATTTCTCAACGACGTAGATACCTAAAAAGAGTGGCAACAAACAGTATAAGCTACACTTTCGTTTTTCTCTTCTTAATCGAGGGAAAATATTATATACTAATCAATTTCTAACCTGTTGATCCCAATCTGTTCTGAGAGTCATGATGGTAAGCACACAAGTCTGAACAAATATTCCAAAAAGCATTCCGATCCATACACCCTTCAAATATATAAAGAAAATAAAGTTTTATGTTGTTTTGAATCGCTAATTTTATTACTTTTATACATTATGAAGAAAAAATATAAAAAAAGAAAAACTTACTTTGACTTGCAAACCAACAACGTAACCAAGGATCACACCAACAGGAATTCCGAGAAGGTAATAGCAAGCAAGGTTAACGTAAGCCACATATCCTTGCCATCCCGCTCCGACCGCCACTCCTGTTAAGGTTTGAAACCAGTTCAAGACACATACTACTTCAAATATCGGTTCGAATTCGATACTATAATAACCATCATGTGTCAACTATCTAAAATATATACCAGAGAGAACGGGTTGAATACTATTCAGGAGGATGGAAAATGCTAAGAGTGGAGAAAGATCGGCAACTTCGGCTGCGACAGCTTCACTTGTAGTGAAAATGTAGGAAATTCTTCCCCTTAGAAACAAGAAGACAAAGAACAGAACTATTCCTATAGAGAGTGACGTGAAAACCGCTATCAATGTTGCAAATTTGGCTCCTTTGGAGTTTCCCATACCGAGCTCGTTGGACACTCTTACACTATATAGAGAGAGATCATTAATTACAAAGAAGATGATATATAAATAAAAGATATACCAACAAAAAAGATAATACTCCTCCGTTCTTTTATATAAATGATGTTTTAAGCTTATATTTTTGTTCTTAAATAGATGATGTTTTCAGTTTTCAATACAATATTAATTATTTTTTTATTGGTTTTTATGATTTATATTATTTTTTATTGGTTGATTAGATAATAAATGATGTTTTTGTTTAAAAATAAACAAAAATTAGATGATTTCTTAATCTGTGTGCATTCTCCTAAAACATCATTTATAAAAGAACGGAGGAAGTATATAAATAGTATCATTAAAGTGACGTGTGTAGTATATATGAATCTATATATATGTATCAATGCACCTTACTGCTGCCAAAAACCCAAGTGATATCATCATCTGCAGTGCATTTACGTTGATGCTGCAATAAAGAAATGGAAAAGATTAGTCGATTTCCAAAATATTATTTATATGTTACTATCTGTTTATACTCATACCGTATTTTAACTTAAGAGTCAAGTTACTAAAGATAATGTATATACATTTGTATGGAAACCAGAAGAGATAGAAGGTGGATTCTTGTTGATTTACCAGATTGCTAGTGCATCAAGAGCCACCTCTGCGTTTTTCATGTTTCCAGTGAGCAATACTAATATCGAGTTGTACCATAACTCCAAGCTGTCCAAAGAAACCGACCACAAAGTAATAATCATTAATTAACAAAAGAAAAAGTAAATTAACATGAAAAAATCAAACAAATAACAAAAGAATTGTATTGATAATTGTAACGGTCGGATCAAATCCTACACTAATTGATAATTATATTGTTTGCAGAGCCAGAAAACTAATGCATTGACCAAGTAAATGCATAAAGTGGGAAACCAAATCTCTTGTTTTGACACCAAAAAAAGAAAAAGGAAAACAAAAGCTATCTGTATGAAATGAAATGCTGCTACTAATAAGACTTTTTTTTATGTAAATATTTGGTTGATGAGACACTAATTTCTTAATATTATTTTTAAAAGGATCATTTACAAAACTAGCCATATTCGACAAATTTCTTAAGTATAATATAGCATTATATATGCATAAATTAAGAAACTAACATAAATGACAAGGATAATGACCAAAGGAAGGTGACGGTGGTGATGGTGATAACGGCGATGGTTTAAGTGGCAGTGGCTACAGTAGTAGTGGTGGTGACAACGATGGTTTAAGTGGCCATGGTGGGTAGTGGTGGCCGTGGCAATGGTGGTTGTTGTGGCAGTGCCAATTACGATAATGGTAGCGGTAACTGTCGTTTACTTGACGAATCATTGCAATTTGTTCGTTTGTTTTATAAATCTTTGTAACATTTAATTTATTTGACGAAACCGTTTCAACCATTGATATATTTGATATCTCTACCACTCATGTCTTTTCAAATCTGTTTATTTAAAAAATAAATCAATATTTTTCATTTAATCATAATAAGTCTTCAATAAATCCAAACTTTTGCAACCAACGATTTTATTTGAAAATTATTTCTAAACATATATTATTTTATGTGTGAATAAATTACTACAATTTTTTATTTTTTAAAAGATTTTACGAATTCGTTTAAAAATAAAAAGTTTAATCAGTTTCCTAGAAAAAGAATCGGAGTGTCGCATTTCATTATGACAGCTGTTTTTATATATTTTTATGACAACCATTTTTAAAACCTTAAAAAATGTTTCCAAGAGTCACATTTTTGTACTGTTTTTCATTATAAAAATTTATCATGTAACTTACTACCATGTGCTTTTATTTACACTCATATATTTCCAAACCTCTTTATTTTTAATTTTATAAAAATCTTAACCCTTTTAAAAATCTTAGAAAGTGTTTCAGAGAGTTACATTTCTTAGCAATATTTGAAAAAGTGCTTATAACCATTATCAAAAATTTTAAAAGTGTTTCAGAGAATCACATTTTTGTACTGTTATTAATTATAAATATTTTCATGTAGCTTATAACTATCACCATTTGCTTTTATTTACACTCATATATTTCCGAACCTATTTTTTCTATTTTCTAAAAATAATATTTGAATTTATACATACTAATTGTTAATAACCAACAATTTGCAAGTATTTAGAAAAATATACTAAATACAAATTATTTTAAGATTGATATTTTTAGATTTATTTAGGGGTGTCAAAATGGATAAACTAACTCAAACTAATCCATAATTCAATGAGTTTGGGCTTAAATAGTTTATGAGTTGATCCAACTCATTTGTTAACTGGATTGAGTCAATCCATTAACCCAATTATTTGATAACGGGTTTTAATAGTTAAATGAGTGGATCCATGAAAATTAAATTAATTAATAATTATTATCATTAAAGTCACTCATTAAATCTATGGATTGGATTGGTTTTGGTTAATCCATAAAATTTTCTCTATTTTGACACCTCTAGATTTATTGATTAAACCAAAGATTTATTGAATTTTCTTCAAAATATAGTTTTAAATTTTATTACTTTCTTAAAAAACAAATTGGACATTCACATCGATTTTGTTTTGAAAATTGTTAAGAAAAAATTATGTTTATTGTTTTTGGTTCTAATTTATGTTTATTTTTTTGTTTGTTATTGTATAATTAATAAAATTAGATCCATCTTATGTAGTTACAATTTTTATGGTTAAATTCATTTTTGCCTCGAAATATCAATTTATACATTTTCATGTATAAATATGATTATTTATATATCTAAGATCCTAATTTTTTTTTCACTATCATGAATACATACAACAACAATATATAATATTTTGATATAATTATATGTAATTATGGTACTTGTGTGATTTAAAACTCGCCTCTCTTGATCATAATTAAACAATTTCTTGTTTTATGTACTCTCGTGATCTAGTACTCCACCCACATCGTGATAGGCTCATAATTAATTACTGGATTGACATAAATTGAACAAGATCTCAAGAGTTTTCATATAAAAAAAAAAAAAAAAAAAAACAAAATTTAAAGTGTCATATTAAGTCAACACTTTTAGATCTTCTACCATTGCATAATATACGAGAAATTATCGTGTCTTGAATTTCTTGGTATACCTAACGTCTCAAAGACCCATTACTTGAAAAATTTGCATGTCAATGTGACCAAATTACCATAAGGCCCAAAAATAAAAAGAGAGAATGTCATATGAAAAGTCGTATATGAACCACAAAACGTAATAATGAGAACATAGTCAAGGTAAAATTACTAAACTAATAAAAGGTAATGTAGCAAACAACTAAACTACAACACAAATAAATTTTTAGTCATTATCGAATAGTGACTATTGATAAAAAAAATTAGTAAAATAAGATGAGAAGAATGAAAGTAGTGCTTGATTTATTAACATAATTTTATATTTTTTTTATATTTTAAAGAAATAAGTTAAGAGTATGATTGATGGAGGATTTAATGCACTGAAAAACTATTAATTTTTTTCTTATTTAATTTGGCTAATTTTTTTTATTTAAATAATGTAAAATGACACATGTCATTTTTTTGTGTGATGATGTGGCACTCATATAAAAAGAGTTTGCCAACTTTCATATATATGATTCGTTCTGTATTTGTCATTTACAAATGATTTTATCTTGATAAACAATGTTTCAAAAGATTGTGTTTTTAACTATAATTTTTTATTAAATTTTTATTTATAAACGTTTATAAAACTCTCAAAAAACTAAATAATATTTACGATATAACGTAAAAATTTAGAATTAACATAATTTTTCAAACATAAAAATTTATTATCACAAAATTAATATGGAAATGTATCTAAAAAAATTGTAATGATATATTTTGTTAAAAATGTGTTCTCCCGCAATATCGCGAGGGACACATAATCCAATAAGGATAGTAAAATTTTTGTCTAAAAGAGAAAAAAAAAAAGTTGAAAAAAATTGTGGGTGCTACCTAAACACAAAAAGCTATCATATATAGAGGATTTTAGGTTATAGATGCAAATTTCTCTTTTAATAATTAGGAAACCTTACCAAACCATTCCACCGGAAGACAAAGATAGTTTGAAGACGGGCCATAAATCTTTAAAGGCCAACATAGTGAATCCTTTCCATGTGTCCTTACACCCACCACACGTGACGAATAAGAGCTGCACAATGTTAGGCAACCAGAACGCAACTAGAGTAGAGGTCATAGCACCAGTGATCCCGAAATTGAAATGAACCACTAGGAGCCACGAGAAGAAAACATGGAGCCCTAAGGTGACAGCAGACACATAGGCGATGATCTTGTTCTTGCTCTGAGATTGGAGGAATATTTGGCAAGTGAAGGCGGGTACGAAGGTGAAGTTGATGCCTATGAGCCATAGGGCTATGACCCGAGCCACACGAACAATGCGTTCCTCTTGACCTAAGACTAAGAGAATAGGGCCTGAGAAGATGAAGACGGGCATGATGCAAATGGTACAACCTGTGAGGACGATCCATGACCTTTGGAGGTAGATCCCGAGCATATGGTATTGTTTGGCTCCGTAGGCTTGACCACATAATGTTCCTAGTGCACTGGCCATACCTAACTGCATTAGAACAATAGTTATAACCAATGTTGAGAGTTGAGATAGTTGCATTGTAGTTTCATGAAATAACATATATTCCAGAAATACTCCAAAACCATATATTATAAACTAAACCAAATTTGAATTGAGTTGGTTAAACGTTTTTTAGTCTGATGGGTTTAATTCCTAAAAGCAATTTAGGTTCAAATTTGGTTCTCTATATATATTTTTAAGCGGTCTGATTAAATTAGTTGAAAATTTTAAAATTAATAGGAGCAATTTCTCCCAAAACTAACTAGTTGATCACAGGCTCACAGCAAAATTAAACAACTCAAGTGTATTTTTTCACAAAACCACCTAAACTGAACATAATTAATTATTTTCAGTGTATTAAATCAAGCAAAACTAAGTCAAACATGCTAAAGCTCTTTCTTAATCCATAATATTCTAGGATTATATATCCTCTATATATTAAAAATAGAAACATTGGTGTTGAAAATTAATTAAAAAATATTGTTAATTATTCAACAATCCAAATTTACAAAACTGTAAATCTATATAATAGTACTAAAACAAAACACGCCAATTTAGTGTTCTTCAAACGTATTAAAAATTCATAATACATTAATCAAATGTACATATTCTAATATATATATATATAACTAAAATTTTAAATAACATAATAATCAAGGGATTAATTAGATTGAATAAAAATGGGAAATTGTTATAAATGAAGTATACCATTACCAAGATCGTTATAGGAAACTCACCAAGATACCATTACTGAAACGGAGGAGAACGGTGAAGGTGATAGAGTAAGCGGCCAACTCGGTTGGGCCAAGATGGCCAACGAAACCTTGAGTTACCAATGAAACTCCGTACGTAGAGAATTTCGTGAAGATCGATGGGGCCGCCACAACCCATAGCTTCTTTGATTCTATCCAAACCTTTTCCTTCAACCCTAACTCATCCTTTTCTTCTCCGCCGTTCTCAAACGTCTTTTTCAACAAAGCCGCCGTGAGCTCTCCTCCTCCTCCAGCCATCGTGGAGTCTATGTTTGTATTTGATGGACTTGTTAGTTTTGTGAGAAGTAGTCCACAATTAGAAGAGAGAAGGCAGAGAAAGAGAGAGCAGAGAGTTTGTGTTTTAGAAGCAATCTTTATAATTAATGTTTTATTTTTTGTTTAGTCGTCAATGCCTCGTGTTGCAGTGAGTGGTTAAAATACTCTAAGAAATAGATGCATTTTAAGATCACCTAAGATCGTGCATTCATCGATCGTGACTATGTCTTGCACCGTAGACCAAGAATCAAGTGATGAGCATATCAAACTAAAATAGTCATATTCTTGTGCTAACAAGATTGGGAGATCAACTTACGCAATTACATTTTCTTAGTGAACTAATATTATCAGATTTCCAGAATCAAATATTTATTATTGTTTTTGTGAAATCTGGTTCAAGCAACCAAACGTTTTAGCCACGACGTTACCTGAAAATATTTAATAATAATTACCAATATAATTCTAACACAAGTTAGTCCTTTTGTTATAATAAACGATTAAGAATTTCGTATTTTTAAAAAGGTAATCAATTTATAATTAATGTTTTATTTTATCTGTTTTAGAGACATAGCACACAAGTTTGCACGAAATTTCCAAAAAGCATCTTAACCAGACATTTTGAAATTGAAAGAAAAATAGTTGTTTTACATTTTGAAACTAGACAAATTATAAATTATAGTGAATAAAAAATTCGGTAAAACACGTTACAATTTAAAAATCATAATAACGTAAAAATAATTCTACCTTATTAGACTTTGATGAAGTAGGGAGACTTTGCAGCGCTTTTTTTTTGTGGTCAGAAAACCCGAACACAACTACGGGGACAAAAGTCTCGTGGAATGATATTTACAAACCAAAGGCAGAGGGGGTTTGGGCTTGCGAAGACTAAGAGATGTTTCTCGGGTTTTTGATTACAAATTAGTTTGGAGATTATTTTCATTTTTAGATAAAGCCTTTCATACGTTGAAGCTTCGGGAACATATAATTGCAAAGCTTTAATATTTACCAATTACAAAAACAATTATAATTAACAGTATCAAAAAAAGATAGTCTTTTATTTTTTGTTGTACTGTTATTTCTTGCTTCATTTAACTATATTAGTATTGTTTACAGTTTTTTTAACTAAAACTTTTTTCACTAAGAATGTGCGATAATTGATTTGCCACATGAAAGCTCATAAGATTGTTGTTGTTGATGCTCAAGTTCAATAATTTTTCACTAACTAAATTCCTAGTGTACTAGGCGAAAATTATCACTGATTTAAGGACCGCTACTTTAGTGGTCTAAATTCGTTACCACTTGTCTCACATTTACATTTTAAATGTGCATACGCAACTGTGTACATTCCAGAGTGAAAGAGATTTAAAATTCGATTACAAACTCAAGTTTTACTTAAATCTTCACAATCATTCGTTTTGTAAAGTTTGATTTCGACTTCGGGATTCTGGTTCAACCCAACGGTTCAAACGTTTCAGCGACGAAGACACCTGCGATGTTTTTAACAATAAGTAATATATACAAGTCAGTTATTTTATAACAAAAAATACTTAAAGAGTTTTCTACTAAATGTCCAATAATAATCAATCTGCAAACCTGTTGATCCCAATCTGTTTTCATAGTCAATACCGTAAGCACGCAAGTCTGAACGAAGATTCCGAAAATCATTCCTAACCAAACACCCTAAATTTTTATATACAAAAAAGAAGACTATATTATCTTGTATGCAGAATCAAAAACAACTAAAAAGAGAACATTAGAAAAAAAGATTTAAAAAAAAAAAAATTAGACTTACTTTGACTTGTAAACCAACGATATAGCCAAGAAAAACACCAGAAGGAATTCCAACAAGGTAATAGCAAGCAAGGTTAACGTACGTTACATATTTTTGCCATCCCGCTCCAACAGCAACTCCTGCACCAATTTATATATAATAAGTTCAACATGTAGTCTAGGGTTAGAAACAAACTATTCACTATAGCTATCCATAATTCTAGTTTCAGTTTCAAATAGCCGATTAAGATAAACTATTAACTCATTATACAAAAAAACAAAACCCTTTGTACTAGAAAACCTAAAATACCAATTTCACGTATTCAATTTTTGCATGGATATATAGTAATCATTGAAAAATGAATCCTTTAAACGTTCCATAGATTGAATGTCTTATATATGGTAAACGATACAGGATGATGATGATCCAAAGAGGAAGATATATACCAGAGAGAACTGGTTGAACACTGTTCAAGAGAATGGAGAAGGCCAAAAGTGGAGAAAGATCGGATACTTGTGCGGCTACAGCTTCACTTGTTGTAAAAATGTATGAAACCGTTCCTCTTAAAAACAGGAAGACAAAGAAGAAGATGATTCCTATTGAAAGTGATGTCGAAACCACTATCATTGTCGCAAATTTGGCTCCTTTAGAGTTTCCACTCCCGATCTCGTTTGAAACTCTTACACTATTATATTACAAACATTATACAAAATAAAATAAAAATATGAAGAAGATTAGAAGATATTTAAATAAAGCATGTATAATCAAATATTTAGGATGATTTTAATCAAGAAGAATATAATCAATTATGTATCTAGTATACACAATATGTATGCACCTTGCTGCTGCCATGAAACCGAAGGCTACCATCATCTCCAGTGCATTTATATTGATGCTGCGAAAATTGAGACATATAACATTGAATCTAAGTGCATGCTATATTCCCCTAGAATCAATTAACATAGAATCAATGTTCGATTTTTTATGGCCTAAAACGTAAGATAATGTAGGAAAGAGCCAGTTCCTTCCGTTTTCCTATAAAAAAATGTTCGTTAGTAATGTTCCATAGGAAATCAAGAATGGTAGGAAATTCGTCAAAAAATTTTTACCAATTCTATTGGTAGAAAATTTTGTCGGAAACGTATTAGCATTCAGACGAATAATCTAAAGACAAAAGTACAAATGTATGAACATAAATTCAAAGACAATAGACATAAAACTGATAAATATAGTTTACCAGATTGCAAGTGCGTTAAGTGCAACCTCAGCATTTTTTAAGTTTCCCGTGAGCAGAATCAAGATCGAGTTGTACCATAGCTCCAAGCTGCCCAATATTAATACATCACAAAGGAATTGTTATTATATATCATAATAATATTGTTATTCTACAAATATGCATAAACAATAAAATTTTCTCTATAACATTTATTCAAAATATCTCAATCTTTGACAAAGTGAATGAATGTACTTAATTAGGCAGCCTTTCAATCAACGTGGCAGTTTTATTAAATTACAACCACATGTTCTACAAAAGTATTTGTATGACTAATATATATTTATGCAGTTGAGAAGAATAGAAAATCATACCAAATCATGCCACCGGAAGATACTGATAGTTTGAAAACAGGCCAAAGATCCTTGAAAGCCAACCAAGAGAATCCTCTCCACGTGTCCTTACATCCACCGCACGTGACAAACAAGAGCTGCGCAATGTTAGGCAACCAATGCGCTATGAGTGATGAAGTCATGGCACCAGCGATCCCGAAATCAAAATGAACCACTAAGAGCCACGACAAGAAGACATGGACCCCTAACGAGACAGCAGCCACGTAGGCGATGATCTTGTTCTTGCTCTGAGCTTGGAGGAACATTTGGCAAGTGAAGGAAGGCACGAAGGAGATGTTGATGCCTATGACCCATAGAGCTATAATCCGAGCCACACGGACTAGGCGTTCCTCTTGACCTAAGGCCAAGAGGATAGGGCCGGCAAAGATGTAGATGGGCATGAGGAAAATGGTACAGCCTGTGAGGACGATCCATGATCTCTGGAGGTAGATCCCAAGCATATGATATTGTTTTGCTCCGTAGGCTTGACCACATAGTGTTTCTAGGGCACTAGCCATGCCTAACTGCATATATTGTCATTGACGGTTCGTTATTACACGATAAGAAACTATTTCATAGTTAGATATCAAAAATATAAAAAAAGAAAGTAGGTTTGATAAATGCTTATAAGCTTTAATTTATATACACAACGTACTACGATATTTAAACTTTAATTTAGACTTGAATATAACCTTTAAACTCTTGTTCGTAAAAAGAATATTCATATATGTATTGTGTATTGAATTTTTCTGTATAACTTTATATATATATATATATATATCGTCTTAATAGAGATTATAAATCGTCTGACCATTCCTTTAATTTGTGTCATATCTTACAATATTTTTTTCAAACTTTTTACAGAATCAATATATTCTCCAACTTTTTTTTTGTTAATAAAGGTGTTTGTCATATTCTCCAACTTTTCTAAATTTATTCTAGTTTACCCACTGAATTCTACTTAACAATGAAATGTTTTTGCTCCATTTCGAACGATTAAAAGCAATTGTATTTATAAAAAAGGGAAAACCCAATTGATGTAATAATAAAAACTAATGGCGTTTAATATTCGTTGAGAGTCTTGAGACTTGTTTATGTGAAAAAAAAAGAAGGTAACTACACTAAACAATAAACGAACACTCAACGAAGAGTACGACCAACAATGCCTTCCAAAACAGTCAATATATATAGAATTAGAAGTAGCATAATTTCATAGAGGAAAGAGTTGTGTGGTTGTAAATTTTATGATTGGTTGACAAAACAACCAAAACAAGTTCCGACAAGAAGTCTATCTAAGCATTCACTTCACCGTTTGTTTTTTTTCACGAGTTTTCAGTGAAGTGTTTGTTGAAGAACTGATCTAATCGTTAAAGTAAACTCACCAAGATACCATTACTAAAACGGAGGAGAACGGTGAGAGTGATGGAGTAAGCAGCCAACTCGGTTGGGCCAAGGTGGCCAATGAAAGCTTGAGTTATCAAAGATAGTCCGGACGTAGAGAATCTCGTAAAGATCGCCGGTCCAGCCACAACCCATAGCTTCTTAGATTCCCTCCAAACCTTCTCCTTCATCCCCAATCCATCCTCTTCTCGGCCTGCCGTCTTTTTCAGCAGAGTCTCCGTCGTCACTTCTCCTCCTCCTCCGTCCATGGCTTAGGAGAGAATGAAGAGAGAGTAGAGAAGCTGATAAGGAGTGGAGAGGGGAGAGAGTTTTGTTTGGTGGTTTGTTTATTTACGAAGGAAATGAAAAGCCGGCCTACACCTTTTTTTTTTTAAGATTCTTTGCCAAATTGGTAATCTGCAAATGAATACTCTTCATAAATCAATTTTAAATTTTTTTAAAAAAATACCTTTACATATATACATTGCCTACAGAAAAAAAGACGCAGCTAGTTTTGAACAAATCACCCAAAAAATTCTAAGATAGGTCTCTAGCATCATATGAGAATAGGGAGTGGAAATGTGGCATCAAATATGGGATAGTCGTAAAACATCACAGCGCGGTATGGCCTCTACAATTTGGATAGACGACACACATCTTTGGGCTTTTACGAAATCAAATCCAAAATTTCTAGAAAATTTTGGCCATGAGACACTTTGTGGGTTTTGTATGCATTATGGGTAAGGGTAAACATTCTACTATCGTAAATGACAAGAATATTTGACCCTCCACAAATTCCGGAAATTAGTCTGAATTTTCAGCTCAGAATCCCTTATTTATATGACAAAAGAAATGTCATGTCAAACTAGTGCATTAGATCTAACATTCGGCCCATTCATAAAAGAATGATAAACTAGAAATACACTGGGCCGAAAACTAAAGCCCATTAAAAAGGAGCAATAATTGGAGATGGGAGTTACGGACACGTAACTTTGACAGAGCAGGGAAAGCTTTATTGTACTTTTTTTTTTCGTCAAAGCTTTATTGTACTTTATGGGACTTTAACCTTTTTTTACCATATAAAGAATTGTTACACGGCTCTATGTAAAATCTTCCAAATAATAACTCCGACAATAGTAGTATAGTACTACTCTCTCATGCAAATAATTCTGTTTTGGTAACACTAAAGTGGGACTAACTCAACCAACTTAATTTGGTTGTTGAATAAATCACCTCATTCAACAAATAAAAACAAAACAAGTATGGTTCCAAAGCCAAAAATAGACGAGTATATATATCTAAAATGTATTCATTGATTACGACAAAAACAGACAACAATTGCCTGATGTTGGTCATATGCATACACGATATTATTAGTCAAAATTTTCTCATATAGTAGTTGTATTATTTATTTATACAACATAAGCCAGAAATGGGAAAAGTTAAAATACAAAAATAATCTAAATTGAGCAACTTTTTTTAACTTTATAGGACCACGTGAAGGAATCTAATGAGTGGACCCTGACGGCACGTAGACTTGGACACAATCAGTCAAAAGCAACCAAACGGCGCCTAAAAAAGGCTTGAGCCATGGTATTTCCGTAGTTATATTGATTAATACGAGGGCAAAATAGGAAATTCAAAAGACACTGACGTCACGTGCGAGTCAGGACATGGCACAATTGGCAGACCACAGCAACCAAGTGGTCAAGCTCAAGCTCAGCTCAAAGCTCTCTTCAGGTTTTTTTTATGAACCAAAGAAAAAACAAAACTTTACCGGAGATGACGACGGAGCAAGCTTTGTTGTCTATGGAAGCGTTGCCTCTAGGTTTCAGATTCAGACCAACGGACGAAGAACTCATCAATCATTATCTAAGGTTAAAAATCAACGGCCGTGATTTAGAAGTTAGAGTCATCCCTGAGATCGATGTTTGCAAGTGGGAACCATGGGACTTACCTGGTTAGTTAGTTCTCTCTTCTTCTTCTTCTTCTTCATGAAAGGTGGAAGCTTTGTGAAATTTTGGATTGTTTTGAGAGTGATGATAAGGTTTTTTAGGGTTTTGTTTAAATTTTTTTAGGGCTATCGGTGATAAAGACGGATGATCAAGAATGGTTCTTTTTTTGTCCTCGTGATCGGAAGTATCCGAGTGGTCATCGTTCTAATAGAGCGACTGATATTGGTTACTGGAAAGCTACTGGGAAAGATCGAACTATTAAGTCTAAGAAGATGATTATTGGTATGAAGAAGACTCTTGTTTTCTATCGTGGAAGAGCTCCTAGAGGAGAGCGTACTAATTGGATTATGCATGAGTATCGTGCTACTGATAAGGAACTAGATGGTACTGGACCTGGTCAGGTCTGTTTTTTTTTTTTTTTCTCTTTCTCAATCTACTTATGGTCAATTCTAGCTTCTTCTCTGCTTCAAGGTAGTCTATGGTTTGTGAGGTCTTTAGGTGCTTTATATAGTAAGAAATTTGTTTCTTGAAATGGCGAGTTGATGTTGATTAGTTTAAGTATTACTACTCTTGGTTAATGATGGTGGTGACCTTTTGGCTAGTTGGTGTGTGTGATATGTTAATACTCTTCTGCTTATATGTTCTTTGGTTGTGTGTGTTTTGTAACAGAATCCGTATGTTTTGTGTCGCTTGTTCCACAAGCCTAGTGATAGTTGTGATCCTGCAAATTGTGAGGACATAGAGAATGTTAATTCTACTCCGACCACCATTAGATGCTCTCCTGATGACACATCTTCTGAAATGGTCCAAGAAACAGCTGCATCTGCTGTACATGCTCTAGATAGATCAGATGACACTGAAAGGTGTTTAAGCGACAAGGGTAATGATGTGAAACCTGATGTTTCAGTTATTAACAAAACTTCTGTCAATCATGCTGAAACTTCTCGCGCCAAAGACCGTGTTTTGGGCAAAAGCTTAGTAGAGGTAATACTTATTTTTCGGGTGATCTCTGTTTGTACTAAGTATAACATTCTGTATCACAATTTCTCCATCGCTAACCATTCTGTGCTTTCTTCTGGTATAAGGAAAATCACCTTCTAAGGGACATTCCAACTCTTTATGGACCCATCTTAAGTGAGAAATCATATTATCCAGGGCAGTCAAGCATCGGTTTTGCTACGTCACACATAGATTCGATGTATTCTAGCGATTTTGGAAACTGTGATTATGGGCTACATTTTCAGGATGGTGCCTCTGAACAAGATGCATCTTTGACAGATGTCTTGGATGAGGTATTCCATAACCATAATGAATCCTCTAGTGAAAGGAAAGACTTTGCGATTCCAAATATGATGCATTGGCCTGGAAATACAAGACTGTTGTCTACTGAGTACCCATTTCTCAAAGATTCCGTTGCTTTTATTGACGGCGGTGCTGATGTTTCCGGCCCACAGGTAACCAGAATGTTTGAGATAGCCTGCATTGTGGGATAGTGATTTGTAAACTGATGATGATTATGGGACTGACCATAGTGTTTCTTCATGTACAGCACTTTTTTCCTGACATTTTAGCTTCTAGATGGGTCAGTGAACACAACCTTGATAGCAAGGAGGTAGTAGAGATTCAATCTTCATCAGGGTCCTCTCGGACCGTGACGCCACTTCATAACAACGTGTTTGGGCAATATGCTTCATCGTCTTATGCAACTATTGATCCATTCAACTATAATGTCAACCAGCCCGAACAATCATCCGAGCAAAACCATGTTGACCGCAACATTAGTCCCAGTAACATATCTGGGTTCAATGCTAGGTCTCAAGAGAATCAGACAAATCTTGACTCTGTTGTGGACCAAGGCACTGCTCCTAGACGAATTCGGCTGCAAATCGAACAACCATTGACGCCAGTTATCAACAAGAAAGAAAGAGATGCAGACAACTATGAAGAAGAAGAAGAAGAAGAAGAAGAAGAAGAAGAAGAAGAAGTACAATCTGCCATGTCCAAGGTATACTTTCAGTCATCCGGCTAGTATTGTGATAAACTTGGAATGACCTCTCAAATGACCATTGATGAATGTGCAGGTCATAGAGGAAGAATCGGCCAATTTAAGTACTCAGGGGACTGCTCAGAGGAGAATCCGCCTGCAGACGAGATTGAGGAAGCCTCTCATAACCATAAACAACAGAAAAAGAGACTTAAACTGCAGAGAAGATGAAGCAGGCCATAACAAGGTAAGATGTTTCTTTTTGGGTTACATCTATAAGCAAAGCATCATCATCTCATATTGGAAAAAACATTAACAAACATGATTGAAACAATCCGAAATACAGGAAAATGAAGGTGTACCATCATCATCATCATGGCAAAAACAGAAGAAGCTAATGAAGAAGAGCTTGGTGCAGTATAGTAGTATGGTGATAATAGTGGCGGTGATAGTTGTTTTAGTCGGTATATGGAAAGAGTCGAGAGATGCCAAATATAGCTTCTTGTTTCATCAATTAGATTCCTTCAAAGGCATGTTTATTTGATGCGCCAATCTCCATGTTTTTTTTTGTATAAATCAATCGTGTTTAGTCCGTATTTTTTTTTCTTTTTCTTTTGTAGTGTTGAGTAATGAAGCCAGATTCTCTACTCTCTAGAATCATTAACAAAATAGTTCTCTTTTTTGATTTTTTGCAGTTCACACACTACTTCTCCTTGTGTCCGTCACAATATATTAACGTCGTTATTAATGTATTTTTTTTTTATATGTATAATCTCAAATTTTGAATTCAATATAGTTCTTATGTGACATAATAAAATATATTCCCTCCGTTTTAATTTAGTTGTTGTTTTAGCACTTAAATTTTGTTTAATAATAGTTACCGTTTTAGATTTTCAATGCAAATGTTTAGTAAAAATTCCAGTTTTATCCTCACAGTTTTAATGTCTTGACCAATAAAAATTTTTAGATAATATATTGAACAAAGGTAAAGTAAAAAATTTAATTGTTTTCTTAATTTCTGTGCAAAAACTTTAAACGACAAGTAATTTAAAACAGAGGGAGTATAAATTATCTCAAACAATTCGTAATCAAATTTAATGTTGAGGGAAAAAGAAAACATAATTTCACAAAAATGTACAAGAGAGATAAATGTAGTGTCTCAACTAATTGTCCAAATGAAAAAACAAAAAAAAAACTAAATATCTTTGGATACCAGAAATAAATATTATTTGTAATAAACATGTTTAATTTACATAACTACATTATTTTATTTTATTTCCTTTAAAAAATTGCCTAAATAGCGGTTAGGCCGCATTATCCCCCGTCTAAACCATGTAATTGGGCACCTAAACACTATTAGACGTCCAAATGTTTTTAAACCATTACATAATATAAATTAGGGTGTCCGATTGTAATGCCTCCGAACCCATTTTACGTGACGATTTGGTCGATTATATACGGTCATCCTTTTCAGTCCGACCATCTTATTACCATAATCATTATACTGACCATTATGCGTATGTGTCTAAGGTGTCGCTTAGACGGTTGTCTAGACACATTTTAGAACATTGCTCCTAACTGTATATAATCTCTTATCTCTAATCTTTAAGATATATTTATAGTATAATTGTAACATATATACTATATTGAAAAAGCAAATATTTTGAATAACTGAAAAAGCTCAATGGACTCTTCCAATCCGTGGTTCTATATAGTAAACGTCTACTTAAAGTCTTAAACCATTTCAAATTGGGGTTTAAAAAATGTTGTCCATGCACGACTACTTAGACCTAATCTTCAGACAAGTAACCTCTTTTGTCATAGGTATGGACATCTTCTCTCGTCTTTTGGACCTCAGATTCCATTCAGGCCAGATTGGATCTCACCCAAAGGCATTAAACCCAAAAGTCTCACACCTCATCTTTGCCGATGATGTGATGGTCTTCTTTGATGGAGAATATTCCTCGCTGCGTGCTATTGTGAATCTGCTTGACTACTTCACTTCCATCTCAGGGCTGGTAATGAATAGAAACAAGACTGAAATGTTCCTGGCTGGCTACTCCTCTACAGAGCAGAACATCCTCAGCAACATATTTGGGTTTCCTCTTGGTAACCTCCCTATTAGATACCTCGGCCTGCCATTGCTCCCAAACCCTCTAAAAAGATCAGATTGTGAACCATTGATCCAGAGAGTAAGAAGTAGGCTGCACTCATGGCATATAAAGCACCTTTCATATGCGGGAAGGCTCCAGCTACTAAGTTCTGTTATTCAAAATATCATCGCTTATTGGTGTGCAGCTTTCATATTGCCTTCCAAATGCATAAAAGATCTTGAAAAGCTTTGCAGGAAATTTCTTTGGTCAGGGGCTGCTGAGATTCCTCGGCAATGCAAGGTCAGTTGGAGACAAGTTTGCTCGCCAAAAAAAGAGGGTGGTTTGGGTCTAAAAGACTTAAAACTGTGGAACAAAGTCTTTGCTTTGAAGTTGATTTGGCTTTTGTTCTCTACATCTGGATCTTTGTGGGTTGCGTGGTGCAGGAAAAACAAGCTAAGGAGGAAGTGTTTTTGGAGTCTTTCTGTAAACAGTCGAGGCTCCTCAATGTGGAAGCAGTTTTTGAAGCTACGACCATTGGCAAAAACATTCCTATCTTGCGAAGTAGGGGATGGAAAATACTGCTCTTTTTGGTATGACCATTGGACACTTTATGGGCAATTGCATACGTTTCTTGGAGCAGATGAACACAGGCTACTTGGTCTCCCGCTGGACTCAACAGTAGCTCAAGCAAGAGCAGGAGATGGCTGGACTTTTAGAGGAGCTTGCTCCAATAACGCTAAGACTCTCCTATGTCACCTATCATCTGTTCAAATCTCTGATGTTAGTGACAGATTCTTGTGGGCAAGAAACTCAGGGCCGCCTCAAGACCAGTTTAACTTCTCTGATACTTGGAAGCAGATAAGGACTCCAAAACCAGAGGTCTCGTGGCATAAGCAGGTTTGGTTTTCAGGGTCAGTCCCTAAACACTCTTTCACTATGTGGCTTGGTTGCTTGGACAGATTAGCAACTCTATCTAGGCTGCGATCTTGGGGGGTTGTTGAAGAGGATACGTGTTTTCTTTGCGAAATCTACAGCGAGTCAAGAGACCACCTATTCCTTCGCTGCCCATACAGATATGACATTTGGAGATGGGCTTTCAGACAGCTTCACCAACCTTTCATGGGTTTCAGCACCTGGCCAAGACTCTTAAATTGGCTCAATTCCCCTACTCAAGAAGCTTCAATGGAGCCGCTACGATTCTTAGTAGCCCAGTCAGTCATTTACTCAATCTAGCGTGAAAGAAACGCACGTATTTTCACCAATACCCGTACTCCGGCTGAGGGTCTATTCAAAGTTATTGACCGTGGGATTCGCAACTCTTGCTCCGCAAAAAGGCAATCCCAAAGTTCCGAGACTCTCTCCAATTATGGTTTCGAGGCTCTTCCTCTTTTTAGTAATTCGGTTCTTGTACCGGGCTTGTTCATCCCGGTTTGTCGTTGGTGAGGCACCATAACTATTTTTCTTTCTCTTGTAACTCTTATCTATATATACATTTTTGGAGACGTTTTTGAAATAAATCATGGAGTTGGCACTTATTTACAATGTAATGCCACTGACATTAATTCTCAAAATTTGTTTTTTTAATTAAATATATGTAAATCTAATTCTTTGCCAAAAATCTGGAGATAATCTTTCCTAATATCTAGACAATGATCATTTATACTCTATTTAAATTAAGATTTTTAATTCAAAATCAATTACCATACATTATCCTATATTATCAACACAAAATCGCCCAAACAAATATTCATACCAACGAATTTGAAGAAATTTTTTAATACTACTAACAATCGGAATTCAAAAAATCCGTATAATTTTTTTTAAAAATAATTATTATAATTTATATATTCAAAATAAATAAATTTTTAATAATATTATAAATATTTGAACATATCAACATTTTAAAACTAACACATGACGGGTTATATTACGAGACGAAATTATATGGCGGGGTAGAGTTATATGGCGGGACGGGTTTGAATCAAAATTAATTAATAAAATTTTAAAATATCATTAACATGTCCCTTCAATAAGGGTTAAATCCTCATTTTATTATTTTGGAAGACCTGTAATATTAGACCTATCGAATCAGTCTAATTTAGTTAAGATTGTATAAAACAAAAATTGTTCAGTAGTATACCGTTACTTAATGACAATTATAAACTATAAATTATAAATGTCTTAAAAATAATACAATTTGCTAATTTATATATATATAAAACATAATTTAAAAATTTTGAAAATCATAAATTTTAGAAAAAATCACCCCGCGGTACACCGCGGGTTAATCGCTAGTCTTTAAGTAATATAAAACCAGAAAAATAAGAAAAAAAAAATCTTCAGACACGTAACCAAATCGACTGACCAATCGTAGTATACAAAATCTAAACATATCCAACCACATACCAAACTTTAGTTAGAAATTCAAATTCCACAAAAACTAAAAAATTAATCTAACCTATGTGTATGTATAGACGTTGATATTCTTATTAATTATTTTGTGGTAGTTTCAGGGTTTTCATCAATGAGATTGCAGTTCACATTAAACGTTCCACAGATTCTGACACATCCGAAATAAGTGCGGTTAAAGCAAAAATGTTGGGAACGTTAGAGCACCCTTATCCATGGGCTCTTAGATGAATCTTAGCCAAATCTTAAGCTAAGATTTGTGAAGAAAGAGCTCTTATATAAGAGCTCTTATATAAGAGCTTTTAGGTTTATATTTAAGCTTTTTCTTCACAAATCTTACCTTAAGATTTGGCTAAGAGCTCATGGATAATGGTGGTCTTAGAAATGAAACGCTCCATATAGTACTAATGTGGAAAAAAAAAAGTCTTAAAATGTTCGAGTAGAGACAAACCATTCACGATTTAATTTAATCAATCGGTGTTGATCTTTATCTTCATAAAATCAAAAAACCATATTAGGAATTTTGTAGTAATTTATGTCGTTACATTCTAAGGATATGAAATTTTTAATTAAATGCCATAAGGAAACAAGATAAAGATCGAACGGATAAACATCATCCGGTTTGTGAGTGGATCCCGCATGATAAAAATAAGTGGTGAGGTCCATTTCCAATACTATGTGCGTTTTCTACATCTTTCTCAACACTTGTTTCTCTTCTATTTATTATTCAAAACTAGACAAATTTTGGCGCAACGTTACACAATAAGTACTTTTTAAAATCTAATCGAATTATTTCTTTTTTTGCCGTAAATAGATATTTTTTTGTAGTGAATAATTTGAGAAAAAAACAATATAACTTAAAAAAATCAGTGTCTTCATTTAATTGGTTCCTGGTAAAAAGATCTTATAATGTATAAATTAATAAACATGTATAAATATATTCTAGTGAAAAGGACAGATTCAAAATTCTAAGAATTTTGCATTCTAAAAGTTGAGTGCTTATAATTTAAATTTTGCTACTTATTTGATTAGATCATAGGGAAGTAAAAACTGAAATTTATGTTAATTTTGAATATGTTAATCATTCGATTATTAAATAAAAAAGTTAATTAATAACAGATGTTATGTAAAAAAAAATCTTTTGTCGTTAGAAAAATAACTATCTTGTGGGTTTTACTAAAAATTCACTCATATTTTTTAATTTAATTATATTTGAATTGTTATTTTTCAAAATTTTGTAAATAAAATATGATTAATAAATTTAACATTAACACTATGTAAACAATATTTCACATGAATGATTATTTTGAGCAATTTTAATTAAAGCTGTTTACAAAAAAAAAATTAACATTAACAAAAAACCTCTATTAAATGTGATTAGTCAAAAATAGAGCATTTAATTTAATATTATAAGATGATAAATTAAGAAAGTTAGAAAAACCAAGAGCAGGTTTGACCAAAAAAATACCAAGAGCGGAGAGACAGTAGAAGACACCCCTAGATTTTACTTCTCCTTCTCCAACTACTACTATATATAACTAAATACAATTGTGTAAGAAAACACAGAGAACAAGAGAAATAAGAAGATTCCATTGAAGCATAAAGAAAATCAAGAATGTTGCTGGTGACTTTGATTGCTGATATGATGAAGGAGTACACGGTGGTGCTCGCCGGAGTTTTGGAGCATCTATTTTCTCAAGCGCCTTTTCCGAGGAGAATCCGACTTCAGATTTTATACTCTCTTCCTTTTCATAGTTCCAATTCATCTCTCCCTCTTCTCCTTCCTTCCCCTCCTCTTTATTCTCGTTCTTCTTGATGTTTATTTTCTTGCTTACTTTGTGATTTTTTTTTACTTGAGGTTTTTGTGTAAATAATGCATCCTTTAAAAAACAAAAGAAAAAGTTACTGAGCTTTGTTGTATATATGTATATCCTTTTGTGATTTTTTTTGTTGAATTGTTCTACTAAAGAAGATTCTTTTGTTGGAAACATCACTAGAGTTTGAAACGTGTGAAGAGTTATTTTGTTATGGAGGTGAAAGTTATCAATATCGTCGATGCTAGACTTGATCTTGGTCAAATAATTTGAGAAGAAGACTCTTTTCTAATTAATGCATCTTTTCGTTAAAAAGAACAGAAAATTCTTGAGCTTTTTGTTATCATTATCGTAGACTTGATCTTGGTCAAAGAATTGAGAAGAAGACGGATTTTCCGACGACTCTCTAATTTGGTAAGATTAAAGGGGAGACACCATTTCATTTAGAAGGTCTCAAAACTCGAGTTATGTGATCATGTAATCAAGAGATGTATCCAAAAAGGTGTTTACTCGGTTCCATTGTCGTTTTCACCGATCGAGTCGAGTCGAGTCAATCCAACGGTCCAACCATATCAATGTTGAGTTCTGGTTTTGGGCCAGGGATGCTCCAATTCTACTTGCCTTGGATAAACAGAATTCGCTATTACTTGTGGTTCGAGAATGATTTACTTTCCTTTAAATAATTGGACTTAATTGGTAGTTGTTTTATTTTTTTGAAACTTAATTGGTAAGTTAGATGAAAAGTTTTGAATACGAGATTTTTTCTTTGAGAATATTTCTAAGATTTTAATAATAATCTTTTTCGAAATAAAGGTCTCACTTTTTGTGATTATTCATATCCAGTTGAATAGTCTCATTTCCCAATCAGAAATAATTAGTTTCATCCAAACATGATTTTGAGTAGGAAATATCTATCCTTTTTCTTTTAACTCTACAAAACCGTCTTTGCTATTAATATTCCCTTAATATCGAGACAAAGAGTTTATTTCTCCATGTCTACAATTGGCTTAAGCCACACGAGAGTGTACTATTATTCAGGGTAGTTTGGTACATAGGAAATGGTTAGCGATTACATCGGTACATTGGTTAGTTTGTCTTTCTCTAAAGGAATATGTTGGTCGAATCCATCTTCTTGTAGTTCCAAGCATCTTCATTGTGAGTGAATGTAAATCTCGACCATTCTTTAGGGTTTTCCAAAACATTGATTAGTTATTTTCAAACACTCTTAAACCTTACTCTTTCAACACCCAAATTGTCTAATCATTGCCAATAACAATGTTCGTAGTCTCGGCAGGCCAGGTCCTGTAATATTCGTGACCAGATACAAAATCGAAAATTCGGGCCTCTATATTGAAAATCGAGATGTCTAACAAGCACGAGAAAATGGACCTTTTCATCGATTGATATTATGTATCACTAATTGATTCACTTTTGTACTGTTTTTTAATTTAAAAAAAATAGGTTAACCAGAAATTGACAGAAATTTTTTTAAATATGTATGTGCAAAATTCAAAAGAAAAGAGAAGTATAGGGACACATACAAAAATATTCCCAAAATAAAAGGTTAAAAATGTCAAATCCAAAAGTTTTCGTCCTAATCCGAATTATTGACAGAGTAAACAGAGAACGACATCTTTTTTTGTTTAATAGACTTGACCTCAAGGAAAAAGCTTTCGTCCTTTCGCAAACCCAGGGAAGGGGAAGGTGAATAAGCCCTGCAAATCCCTTCCCTTCTTCTTCAACAAGATTCATTCCTTTCTTCTCCATAGCCATAACCACAGAGAGATACAGAGAAGATGAAGCACTACAGTCACGGAATTGATGGTTTACGAAGCGGTCTTTCACCATCCGCTAAACCTTTCGCAATCGGTTCTTCTTCTTCTCCTTCCTTCTCTCTCAAATCTGAACATGAAGATTCTATCTGGGGTGATTATACTTTAGACCTTTCCTTTTTATCCTCTGATGATCAGAGAAGTGGTCTTGATGATGATGATTCGTTATCTAACTTGTCTCGTGATGTGGAGACTACCAAAGGTATAACACAAAATCTTTGACTCTTATTCTCTTGTTGTTGTTAAGGTCGTGTGTGTGAATTGGGCATAGAGTTTTTGGTGTAAAGTGTTCATTTTTGGTGTAAAGAGCTAATTTTGTGAATTTTGCAGAAGGATTGGTTTTGGAGGAGAAGATAGCTAGTTCTGGAAAGGTTTTGGTAAACCCTAATCCAATTTTCTCGAAATTGCCTGAGGTACTGATTAAGTCGTCAAATGTTGCTGGTGATGCAAAGTTGGGTCTGTCCTGTGTGTCTGAGAAATCGTCTACAGAGTCTGATGAAGATGACTCTGAGGAAGATTCTCCTTGTTGGATAGGAATGCATTCTCACAAGAGTCTGGCTTCAGGTACTAAAGCTGTGGCTTCGAGGCGTTCGACTGATGATCTTAGTGGGTTTCATAGATTAAATCCTTTGGCACCTCAGTTTATACCATCTAATTCTAAGAAGAAAGTTGAAATGGATGGGGAAAAATGTGAAGAGAATAGTTCTTCGTCTTTGAAGAAGTCTCTGTCTTCAACTTTTCCGTCGTCGTCTGGAGAGTTCGATTTAACTGAACCTCCTCCTGAAGATGGAAGAAATGATGCAGCAAAACTGACAAGCATATTGACCCACAATGCAGATAAAATTTTCGGTTTTGTATCTAGTGATAGCGGTTCCAAGACTGTGAGCATTTTGGATTCTAGAAATGAATTCCAACCATCTAGAAGGTTGGATCCTTTGGCCCCTGTCTTTGTTCCCTCTAGTGCAAAACTAAGTCCTTCTGTTCATGAGAAGCTAGGAGATTTTGAGGCAAATGCACATTCAACTTCTGCTCTTACTTCTTCACATGTTAAGTCGCTAGATATGGTCAAGGTAGTGACATCTTCTGCAGAAGTTGGCCACAGTTTTAAGAGTCGATATGGTGGTAATGTTTTAAGTTCGACATCTTCATACAGTCCTTGGATTGAATCCGACGTAGGGATTACTGAGTATGCTAAACTAGGAAGCTCCAGCAACAAATCTCAAGGTCAGCGGAGATTGAATCCATTGGCCCGTCAGTTCTCGTTTGCAGATACTAAACCGAAAGCATATGACTATGAGAAAAATCAAGCTGCAGATGATTTATCGCTAGTGGTGAATACTACCGGTTTATACATTCCAGCTCGTTATAGGGAGGACCATAATGTAGTAGATGCAGACTTAGCACAATCCTCAGTAAATGTGGAACGTTTTCTTCCCAACATGTCACGTGGAAGTTCTTCACTTATATCTCCAAAGGTTGACAGTAACTTTGGATCTACTAAGTGGTTTGCGGTGGAGCCAAATCCTACATTTTCAGTAAAGGGTAATAAAGATTTTCAGCAACCTCTTCCATTTCATGTTGTAGAAACTGCAGCGAGTTCATCTTCAAGCGATATGAAAGCTTTACCTGGCCCATCTCCAAAAATAGATGTGAGGACACTACTTACAACGATGCATGGACTGTCAGAGTTACTAACACTTGCACATGGTTCAGAATCTTCAGATTCACCGAATGCTGAAGAGCTTGATCTCATTAACAGTACTGTACAGAATCTCAACTTGTACATCCAAAACAACAGTCAGGAACATGCTGGGAATCAAAGCGTTGCACAACGAAATTCATATAATCTAAAGCTGTTACCTAACAAGAGTAAGGTATGTTGTTCTAACTGTTTCTATGTATATAAATTGCTAGCTTAAGCCACATGAGATTTCATTATACTTGGAAGCCCATTAGATTTGCCTAGAACATATTTTATTCAAGGTCAATAAGAAATATAGCATCATGTCTTGTAGAATTTACAAAAATGATATTGTGTTAATGGTTCACCTCTTTTTTGTTAATGGGTCACCATGATTCCAAATCCTGTCTATTAGCTATCGGTTAGAGACCTTCATCAGCTTCCAACGGCAAACAATATGACTGTCGACCTTGATGTGAAAAGGAAGGATAAGTACTCTGTAGTTTCAAGGGAGACGATCCCAGGTTCTCGTTCGTATCAATATGGTGCGACCAAAGATAACGGCTTTGGTCAGGTATGGTTTACTTTCTCCATACTTAAGCTGTGATATTTGGCGTTTAGTAGGAGGTAGACCGTCAGTTTGATAATGTGGGCAGGTTGTGTCTACAAATGGTTACCAACAGAATCATCAAGGTGAGGAGCAGATTAACCAAAATGCACTGTTCTATAAAAGCTTATGGCTCAAGGCTGAAGCAGACAGGTGTTTGATGGTTTACGAGACTTCTCTTTCGAATCCATATCCTTGAAGATATTAGAAAGGTGACATCAAATCATCCATAATTCCCCATCTAAAAATATTTTGAAGGGCAATGACATGTCAGATTGGTAAGGCTTGCCCAAAGTGTGCTTTCGATTTTGCAGGTTGGCATGTAAAATATCAAAGAACAGCCTCAAGATCTCCAATTTCTGGATGGAGACTTATCATTTTCCGAAGAAGTGGCTGACACATGACTAATTGTGCAGAAAGATGAAGTTGGTGCTCTTTTTTTTACAAGTTACCTTTTATTTTACTTATGGTCATGTCGATTCAAGAGAATGAACTGATACTATTTCTCGGAATCACTACTGAATAAATTGGTCTTTTTTCTTATCAGAACCTGGGAACTGTTTGGACGTGGAGCCTTTTGATTGCTGAAGATTGTAATGTTTTCTTGTTCTGGTCCTGAATCTTTTGATTATGAGATGTATAAAAAAAACCACTGTTACTCTTATCTTAACTACTATAGTACTATGTCATCACGCTTTTTGTTATATAGTGCCTTTTATCAAACTTAACTTGCCTATAATGACACCAAATTAAACATACTTTGATCAAAGTAGACAGATAATGACTTTAGAGTAAGGTGAGACAATCAATAATGTTCCAAGAAAATGGTCGCTGAGAGAAGAAACAATGAAACAAAAGCAAAACGACAGTTGTAGTGGTGGCTCTACTACTACTCAACTCTATGTTGTGAGTTCCATAATGGCTGAAACGATATCTCCATCACTGGCCTTTAGAGCTTTGACGGCTTTGGCCTTAGAGACACCTGCTTGGGTCATAACAAGATCAATGTCTCTGGCTTCAACACCAGTGTCATCAACATCTTCTTCGTCTTCTTCCTCTGCTAGTGGAGCCATAGCAGCAACAGAAGCATCATTACGTAGCATAGATGCCATGTCAGGCATCTTGAACCTCTGAGCAGCCTGAGTTTGTAGCTGAGAGCTCAGATCGTCGATCTTAGCCTCTCCAAAAATAACGTAAGTCTCGGCATTGGGACTCTTGTAAACATCTGGCTTCGAAATAACAAACAACACCTGATAGATGCAAATATTTTCCACAATCATCAAACCTTTGTTACTTAAACCAGAAAAATGAGACATAAAGAGTTTATTGATTGTTAGAAGATTTTACATTCTTGGTTCTTTTGATTGTCACTCTGCTGACATCTGAGACAGTTTTCATGCCAAGCTTTAGAACAGCTTTGCGACTTTTCTTCTCGCTTCTACTTTGCTTTGAATTCTCATTTCCACCTTCTCCTTCACCTACACAACCAAAACATGGATACAAACCCCAAAATCAACAAAGGTTTCTCTTTAAAGAAGTACAAAACATATGCAAAATCGACATCATTATAACCGCGGCGCAATGCTATCGAATTCTTCCATAGAGAAGCAAATTCACATTTTAAGAGCTATAACTCAAGCTTAATCTAGGGCTTAAGAACCTCAAGTTCAACAATTTTCTGATTTTCTACAAACCTCATTTTCATAAACCTAAAAGACAAATCATATCTATATATACTAACGATTTTAGAAACATATATAGACCACTCAAAATCAAAGCATAAATCAAAATCAAACGAATGCAATCCGGTTAATCGAAATAAATCAAACCGGAATACATTACCTTCGACGTCCTCATCGTCTTCGTCGTCGTCTTCCTCCTCTCCGTCTTTCACATCCTCCACAACAACATCATCTTCCTTCTGTTTCCACCACAATCAATTATCAAACTCGACGACAACAACAAATCGCAAAAAAAAAATCGAACAGAGGAAAAGGAAAAAACGAACCTCGAGTTTCAATTGCTCTTTGATGGATTCAATCTGCGATTTCTCTTCCTCCACAATCGCTCCTGGCATCTTTCTTCTTCTTCTTCTTCTTCTTCTTCTTCTTCTTCTGCTTCTTAGCGCAGCGAGAACCAAAAGACCTTCCTTACGAGTGAGTGGCAGATGAAACAAATAAAGGAGATAAATGATCCTCTGCTCCGCGGTTCACTGTAACCAAACCCAATTGTTGTCAATGTAAAAGCCCATTGGGCCTCAGTCTCAAAAAACTTTGATTTGCTATTTAGTTGGCGAATATATGTACGTCTCTATATGTCAGAATCAGAATGGTCAACATTCAACAACAGAAACTATTACGTCTTGTTTAATAGTCTAAAGTAACGAAGCATTCACCAATTTTGACTAGAACTCTCAAAAGCTTTGCTTTGGTTCAGCTGGAAAATGGAAGAACAAAATCTATCTTTGTACGCAATGATCCTATCGAGCTCTTCTGTTCTTCCCATGGTTCTGAAGACAGCTATAGATCTTGGTCTCTTCGACATATTAGCTGACTCTGGTCCTTCCTCTGCTTCTCAGATCGTGTCTCTCTTGTTTACTCAAACACAAAAGCATCATGAATCAAACGCGGTGAATCGGATTCTTCGATTTCTTGCGAGCTACTCCATAGTCACCTGCTCTGTTTCCACTGACAACGGTGAGCCATTTGCAGTCTATGGCTTAGCTCCTGTTGCCAAGTACTTCACCAAGAACCAAGGTGGCTCGTTGGCTCCGTTGGTGAACTTTTTTCAGGACAAGGTCATGATTGATATGTGGTAACATCATTAACAACAACCTAACTCTTTTGTCTGAAAACGTTATGAACTTATGATCTCTGACTTGTTCTTATGCAATCTGATGTTGTATTTAACCATAAAAAGGTACAACCTCAAAGATTCTGTTCTTGAAGGAGGACTTCCATTCAACAAGACTCATGGTTCAAGCGCGGTTGAATTGGTTGGAAGAGATTCAAGATTCAGAGAAGTGTTCCAAAGCTCCATGAAAGGTTTCAATGAAGTTTTCATAGAAGAATTTCTGAAGAATTACAATGGTTTTGATAGTGTGAAGTCGTTGGTTGATGTTGGTGGTGGAGATGGTTCTCTTCTCGGTAGAATCATCTCTAAGCATACTCACATCATCAAAGCTATTAACTTTGATTTGCCAACTGTTATCAACACGTCACCACCTTCTCCAGGTACACATACAAATTCTTGAATATATAGATTCTGTTGTATAGTAAATGATCTTTAATGTCATAACTTTTTATGGTTGTAGGAATTGAGCATGTTGCTGGAGACATGTTTACAAAAATTCCTAAAGGAGAAGTCATTTTCATGAAGGTTAACTTTTTTAAAGCTTTCTCAAAGTCTTAACAGAATCATATACCTGAAAGCTAACATTTAGGTTTCTTGTGTTTTTGTTACAACTTATAACAGTGGATGCTCCATGGCTGGGACGATGAACATTGCGTGAAGATACTTTCCAACTGTTATCAATCGTTACCGTCAAATGGGAAGGTGATTGTGGTCGATATGGTAATCCCAGAGTTCCCGGGCGACACTCTCTTAGACAGAAGCTTGTTTCAGTTTGAGTTGTTCATGATGAACATGAATCCATCAGGGAAAGAAAGAACAAAGAAAGAATTCGAGATCTTAGCTCGCCTCGCCGGATTTTCTAATGTCCAAGTTCCATTTACATCTCTCTGTTTCTCAGTTGTAGAGTTCCACAAGAACGAGTGATATGTATTATTTTGATTTAAGACGTGTTCTTCAAGATTCAATAATATAAAAAGATACACATTTTACAGACTCAAGAACTAAGGGTTCTGTTCCTTTTCTACTTGAATAGTTACATGATTGATTTTATGTTCTCTCTTAATATACTCAATCACCTTGTCAAGCATCGCGTCTGTGTCTGCCTCGGGCTTGATCCTAACATGTGAAGCTAAAGAAACTTTGTCGACGGTGATTGACCATATATGAAGTCCATGGACCGCCGTAACTTCATCTATGTCGCATATACCCGCGGAAAGTCTACTACAATCGATCATCTCTCTAGGAGCAGTCTCCATCAGGATGTCAAGTAACTTTCACGTGTTACTCTAGGTTCTTATCACCGCCAGTACAGAGAAGATGAGTGTACAGATCATATCGAGGATCTCCATTTTTGGCTTCCACCTGATAATTCCAGCACTTATCATCACTCCAAAACTCTGGATTAAATCTCCAATTACATGAAGATTTGCTCCTTGTACATTAATATTCATCGCTCCTCCGTCGGTTCCTGCATCCTCGGTATGGTGATCATGATCATGAGAGTGTCCGTGATGATCATGGCCAAGAACGAATAACATTACTAAGTCTATGATGACTCCAAAACATGCCACTCCAAACATTAGAGATCCTTTGATTTCTCTGTTCTTCTGGCAGAGCCTTATGATTGCTTCACACACAATCCACACATTAAGAGCCCAAGTAAGCAAGATTGGCAAGAATCTCGATTCTGAAGTATCCGAAGCTTCTTCTCGGTGTTGCTTCCCACTTTGAAGCGTATAGGGAAAACAAGGAGATGGCGAAGCAAACAACATCTGAGAATTGATGTGCCACATCCTGTTAGAACTGCAAGGCTATGCGATTTGATGCCGCCAACTATCTCAATGCTCATAAAGATTAAGCATAGGATTATGACAGTAGATAGCTTCTTCTTGGACATTGACAGATCCTCAGTGTACTCAGCTCCATAAAATCCACAAGGGATCTCTCCACATGTCTTCTTGATCCTCTCTGTCTCTGTAGTAATTTCTCTGAGGATTTCAATCTCTTGTTCAACTGTTTGGATCTCCATAGCGATGAAAGAAAAACAGAGAAACTGAATCTAGTTTGGTGTGTGTTGAGAGAGAGAGAAGAAAAGTACAAATCTGTTTCCATGGAGGGCATTCGATTATATAACTCACAGTTTGTCGGTTTGTCCTTTGATAACATGACAATTTGATGATGCCACTTCTTGAGCATAAACGTAACTCAGTTTCTCTTTGACAACATGACAACTTGATGATGCTACTTCTTGATGAGCATAAACGTAACCAGTTAGAGTTAAGTGGGATTCTGTTTTGATAACATGACAATTTCTAACATATTATGTGCCTTTATATGCAACTGGTAACTCTAAAAGAAAAACCTGTCAATGAGAAGTGTCATACTCATATGCAAAATAACTAGACCCAATGATATAAATATAAGGAAGACAACTTTAGTCATGGCTCTGACTTAAAAAAAAACTTAATTTAAAACTTCTTTGATAACTTGATTTTTACAGAGAGAATACAACACTTGTATCAAATAGAGGGCTTTTAGCTGACTTGGGGAGCAAGGGAAGCAATAAGGTTTTGACACCTGCAGATTCAACATCATCTAAAATTAAAAGACACATATTCTCAAACGTAGGACGACCTTGTTGCAAGTGAGCAACGGTCCTAACTTGATGATCTTCTTTAGATGGTATTGATGTGCTCGTGGGTTTGCACTTCTGTTCTGGTGGGCTTATAGATCTTGCAGCATAAAAGACATAAACACCATAACCAGAAACAACAAAATGCTAAGCCAACAGAGTGATAAAAGCTTACATGAAACCTGTAAATGAGAAGTTTCACAATCACGGGTTTTGACATCTGTAAATTCATCATCATCTTTTAGACTCTGAGCTTTAAATTTGCTAATGCTCCCAAGAGTACAAAGATCTTGTTGCGGTTGAGCAATGGTAATTTCATCATCATCATCAAGATACAGAGCATTAAATTTGTTAATGCTCTCAAACGTAGGACGATCTTGTTGCTGGTAAGCAATGGTCCTCACTTTATGATCTTTTCTAAACGATGTTGATGTCCACCCTTGATGATCTTCTCTAGACGATGTTTCTATGCTCGGGGGTATAGGCTTCTGTTCTGGTGGGCTTATATAAGTCGCAGCATATGTTTTCTTCATAACATCAAAGTTAAGATCCTCTACATGGTCTACGAAGGCGTAAACTAGATTCTTACTGTCAAACACTTCATGGTTACCATGGATTTCAACGCGTTGGAAAGTTTTTCTTTCGGGATTAACGTAGAAAACATAAAACGGTTTAGATGTTAAATTCTTGACAAAAACAATATCACCTTTAGCTGTCACTCCAGCAACGGAATAGTAGTAGGAATTCTCCGGCAAAGGGTAGACATATTTGGACCATTCTTGTTTCTCGACATCCTCTAGAACCCACATACACAACTCAACGGTACACCTTCCACTGACGGTATCATACTTCCAAATAATCGCACCTAATTTACCCTTGTACCTTATCAATTCAGGCAAATCACAAAAGCAATTTGTATCAATAAATTTGAATTTCTCAGACCTAACATCAAAGCAACATATCACATACGCTCCATCAGTTGGGTGAGCTAAGTAATACAAAACCCCATTGACACATATTTCTTCCCGAAAAGGCACATGGGCTAAGGGACAGTGGATCTTCCTCCACCTCATTTTTCCAGGTCCTAATGTCAGAATATGGTGAACGTATCCATTCTTATAATATTTATGGTTAATGCGCAATACCTTGAATTGCTTGTCAATCGGATCAAACCCTAAGAAGCTTCTCACCTCTTTGTACGTTATCCGTTGTAAGATCGCATATTTTCCCGTGATAGGGTTACATATCACACGGAATTCACACATCTGCATACTAGGGAAATAGATCAAACCAGAAACATAGCTACAATTAATTCTGCCTAGGTCTTGAGAGAAATTCATATGAAAATCGGCGGTTACTACAAGAGATGACTTCCCAAAAACATTTTGACACTGAGGCGACGAGAAGAAGAGCCACTCACCCTCTCTTTTGACCCCAAATAAGAGACGTGGATGATCTGAGGACCTGGTTAAGAACAACTCAGTGAAATTTGGGCGGCCAAGCATGGACTTCCATAGCTTCGACACGCAACGACACCTCCCGATGGACTTTGCGGACAATCTCGAGAATATCTCGAGAATGAGATCAGTCGGGATGGAGTCTAAATTTTCTCCTCTACTCATTATCGTTGTATCTGCTGATTACAAATCGCAGAGACGGTGTAAAATGGAGAATCTCTTGAAAGTTCTAACTAATTAAGATGATGTTAATTAACCTCGCATGGAGAGGAAAGTGGATTTGAACCTATTTATAGTCAAAGCTAATATAAGAGGGACTACCATTAAAAATAAAGAAAAAAGTTATAAAAAAACAATCTTATTTGATTCAAAATTTATGAGAAGTCTTCTCTCTTCTAAACATTAACACATGTCTTTTGTAAGTGATTCCCATTTAATTTTTACAAATTATTTAAATAAAACTATATATATACAAATTAAATAGCTATTATGTTGTTATTTTTATTTTTCTATAAATCATAATATAAATATATATATATATATATATATATATTAAACTCCATTATGCATAAATTTCAATTATATATTAATATTATTTTAATTGATATTAATTAAGGTAAATACGAAATATTAAACTAAAATTGTTTTAGTTGCAATTTGATATGTTCAAAACTAATTGATACAATAAATATATTTAAAATGTAATTTGATATATATAAATAATTCATAAAAAAGTAATACTAAAATTTTAAAATTAAATAATATTAATGAGATACCCATATGTTCATATGGTATTTTACCAATGGAGATGCCCCATGAGCCATGAAGCATGAACTTTAGAGTAATATTATTTTATTGGTCTTGTGGATTCAGTTTCCATCTCTTATATTGAGGATTGTTTTGCTTAAGTACATTGGAGTAGATTTTGTTGTTTTCTTTCACGCCAAGCAACATCATTAACTCGCCAAAAGAGGCGTATCTTCTTGGTTTAGCAGCAAGAAGAGTAACTTAAAGTTCTGATCTGGCATGTGAAAAGTTACAGTGATGAGAAAAATATCATTGGGATTTGTCAAGCCGCCATCGGATGATTAAATCCAAACTTTTCCTCGGCTTTTCTGGTTCAAGAGTTTGAAACAAAAGCTGGTTCAAGAGTACGTAAGAGACTGGCACAATGTCAATGTATATGTACTTATTCTTTAGGTTCTCTCTGACGTACATTGCAAGAAACCCTTTCAGTGATGATTTCAGCCGACGGTTTGACACATAAATCCTAGCATTATGCGTTTTTTTTTACAAAAGTGTAAGCTCTACTACGATTCCATGGTATAGCTAGACTCTCTGATATAAACTTGAGATCAGCTACATGGTCTACAAAAGTGTAAACAATGCTAGGATTCTCAAACGCTTCAAGGTTAGCTCCAGCTCCAAAACCTTGGATTTCAACATGTTGGAGAGTGTTCCTTTCGGATTGAAATAGAAAACATAAAACAGTTTATACATCTAGCATTCTAACAAAATAATTTCACCTATAGCAGTCACTGCAGCTACGAAAACATTTTACTGATCAACCATTGTTTCTACCAAAAAATATAAACCCGTAAATAACCCTATTTTAAATCAATTTCTTATTTAACATGATGCCATCATTCTTGATATCTTGTTAAGGAACAACTAACAATAGCAATAGACCATTGCTTCCATTTTGGATGATTTGATCTATGTCGTTTGATTATATAACAAGTGTTTTTTACGTAGATATCTAATTCATCTGAAAGTTAATTTTAGAGAAGCTTGCTCCTATATATCTTCTATCTATTATGGATGCGTGATTTTTTATGTGGTCGCAAGTGAACAACAAAGAGTATCGTCTTTGTGAATTAATGCAATTCTGATTATGAATTCGACTAATGGGGAGTGACAGAATCATACAACATCACAATGGTCAAATGACCTTGGGACAAGAAAAGTTGTCCATCCGATAGTTCTCCTATTTTCAAGAAAACATACGATTGGAAAAGTGTTTTTGTAGACGGGGTAGGTCGAACAAGAAGCGGTCTACAACCCGCTACGCATTATCTTAAGTGAAAAATTGTTCGAAAGGAAAGGATTCATGGAAGGTCCAAGATTGGTAATTTTAACCTTATCGACCAACTCTTTAGATGTCTAAAGGTACTTCTCCATGGGTAATAAGGTTTCTTGATTTGAAGAAGTGTAAATTTCGAAAATACCTTCCTTTTAGGACTTTCGTCAACAAAGATGGCTTCTTCATTACAAGCCTGATCATTTTGTTCCATTGATGTATAATTACTACGTTCTAAAAGAGTGTTGCTCCATTTCCGTTTATAGAAGGAAATAAATCCGAGAATATTCTTTTGAGGTTAAGAAAATCAACTGAAAATTATTTAACAAAAATAAAAAAAAAATGACTGAAATTTTCACTAAAGAAATCGACTATACAGTTGCAATGTAACGATCGTAGTAATTTTACATTAATCAAAACGTAATCTCACAATTTAATACATAAACTTTCAATATTACCTACAAAGACAAAAGTTCAAGATACTGTCTACGAACCAACCTTGATTAAGAATTTTATTTGTAGCAAACGATATAATTGTTTGACAATTATGCATATGTGAGAATGATAAAACTGTTGGTTTTATACCACAAATAACATCATCTGCTAAAGAGATTAGACCGATGATTATAGCGGCTCAGGTTTCTTCTTGGACATTGAACGATCTTATATGTCCTCATAAACAGTTTTGGGAACTTTAAATCCACAGGACATTAAGGATCGATCAACCTCTACGAAGAAACCCTCAACCGCCATAATCTTCTGTCTACTCTTCATGGCGCAGCTGAAGTTATAGGTGGGATTAAAACCAACAGTCTCACCTCTTACATATATGGCTCATCAAAATCGAATACACAAGAAACTATGGTTTGCATAGAGACGAAAGGTAAACAATGATGTCTTTACTTCAAGGTCATTGCCATTAAATAATCCCTTCTCTTTGTTCTGTTTCCTATACAATCACAATGGTTACATGCCTTACCAATTCTTCAGACTGTACCCATTCATGCGTTTCAAGTGTTGATAAAAGAAAATACACATAAATGTTGCATCAAGACTGATTTACGCAAAATAATCATTACATCGAACTCTCTTAAGCGTCATTTTGGAAATTACACTTTGAAACGAATAAGGCATTATCGAATAGAAACTAACAACCAGGATTACAATAAAACTGCTTTCTTTTTGGGTTCAAGAATCGGAGGGTCAATGTCTATCCCCATGTTAGCTGCAGTTCCTGCAATGATTCTCATAGCGGATTCAATGGTCGTGCAGTTCAGGTCGGGCAGCTTCTCTGCTGCAATTGTGCGCAGCTGGTCTATTGTTATCACCCCAACTTTAGCTTGCTGTGGATCTTTTGATCCCTTATCAACACCTATTTCCACAACAAATGTCAAAAATCACAAAACTTCCAGGAACAGACAAGAAAATAATAGTATAGATGCCACAACTCATACCATTATGTCATCAAACCTATATCCAGAAAACTACATCAGAAAACGTATGATTTTCTTGCCAATTATTCTATCTTTGAGTAAACGATCTAACAAAACTCGGAAGAAAATGTAAATACACCTTATACCCCAAATTGATTTATGTTGAGAAGACAACATCACAAAACATATGGTATCAATGATTTTGTTCTTCTACCACGCTATAAATTTGAATCTCTATAGTTGAGATTGAGAATGAGAACAAGTATAATGTGATCTAACAAAACTTAAGTTATTAGGCTTTGCAAAACGGAATATAAGATTCAAGCAAGCGCCTTAAGATGATCATTTCTATAGAAGTAAACCTATTACCAAAATGCAAATTCATTGATCTCGATACTCATTCGGGTTCGACAAAAGAATACCTGCAGCCTTAAGCAACAAAACCGAAGCAGGCGGGGTCTTGAGGATAAAAGTGAAGCTCTTATCCTGCAAACACACATACAAACTCCATAAAACAATCTCATAAAGCTATAACTCGAAACACATCACCATTCTAAAGCCACTCTATCACAAGTTATAAATGGATACCAAATACACAGAACATATACTAATTACCACCACAAGTGTTACTCTTCTCTAGCTTAATCAAACCAAAATCAAGATTTGTAGTAAGAGAATATAAACTCACATCGAAGACAGTGATTTCAACAGGAATGATATAACCAGCTTTATCAGCGGTTCTTGCATTATAATCCTTGCAAAAAGCCATAATGTTAACTCCCTTAGAACCAAGCGCCGGACCAACCGGTGGCGCCGGAGTTGCTTTTCCCGCCTCTAAAGCCAGTTTGATAACTCCCACAACTACAAAAATTCCAAACACATAACGCAAATGAATCCCACAAATTAAGTGAATTTCTAGGTTTTAAGGAAATGGGTAGCGAAAAGATTGTACCTTTTTTAGCTTTGCCTCCAGGTTTAGGTGGAGCCATGGCGATAACAGTGAGAAATCTCGGAGTTGAGGAGAGAAGTGGAGACTGTTTCTTTCCCAGAAATTGGACGGAAACATTTGCTTTGGAGGATAATTTAGCTGAAAGAGAATGTGAGAGCTTAGAGTTGGGATGCACAGAAGATGAAGTTGAGCTACAAAGAGTTGATAGAGAAGAAGACGCCATTGATTCAATGTGAAGGAAGAAGGTAAGTGAAAGCTCAAGGCGAGTTCACAGATTGTCGTCTCCGGGAAAAATCCTATCCACTTTTGAGTTCTCTCACTTTATGGGCTTAATGGGCCTAAATATATAGGCCTAAGATTCCAGATCCAGTAAGCCCATTTACTGTGAGATATGCAAATGATGCCTATATATATGGGCTTACTGATATATGTGAGATCAGTAGACTTGGAGACTCAAAAAGTCATTGACGCTGCAAATGCTGAATACGACCGTAGTAAGTTTGATGGAGGTGACACATCTAAATCTCGTAAAAGACCATCAATTGATATTGATGATGATGATGATGTCGAAAACGACATCGACAAAGGAAAGACATCAGCACCAGAACCGAAGAAGAGAAAGCAATATGCAGATATGCAGATTATTGGGAACATTTTACAGTGATCATGAAGACTGGTAAGACAGGAAAAAGTGAAGAGAGAGCGCAATGCAATCACTGCAAGGCAGATTATGCGTATAATCCACACAAAAACGGTACAAAATCTTACAATCGTCATATGGAAAAATGTAAGGTTAAGCTTAGGAATGTTGATATTGGTAAAATGATGGTAAATTCGGAGGCAAGATTACAAGCTAGGAAGATAGATCATATGGTTTTCCGTGAGATGGTAGCTAAGTGTATCATTCAGCATGGTCTCCCGTTTGCGTATGTCGAATATGAGAGAGTTAGATTAGTGTGGAAGTATTTGAACGCGGATGTGAAGTTTATAAGCCGGAACACAGCCGCAACAGACGTTTACAAGTTCTATGAGAATGAGATGGAAAATTTAAAGAGAGAATTAGCTCATCTTCCTGGGAGGATTAGCTTCACTTCTGATTTGTGGACTGCAATTACTCAAGAAGGCTACATGTGTCTGACAGCTCACTACGTTGACAGAAACTGGAAATTAAACAACAAGATTATCGCATTTTGTGCTTTTCCGCCTCCACATACGGGGATGCACATAGCCATGGAGATTCTACAGAAGTGGAAGGACTGGGGAATTGAGAAAAAGTGTTCTCCATCACGTTAGACAATGCTACTAACAATGACACAACACAAGATATTCTGAAATCTCAGCTTATGTTGTGGAATGATTTGTTATGTGGTGGAGAGTATTTTCATGTGAGATGTACATCACATATTCTCAATATCATTGTTCAGATCGAGCTGAAAGACATAGAGCCTACGTTGCATAAGATTAGAGAGAGTATCAAATATGTTCAAGCTTCTGAAAAGCGTGAGATATTGTTTGCAAAATGTGTGGAAGCTAAAGACGACGACGATTTTGATTTTGGATGTGTTAACTAGGTGGAATTCGACATACAATATGCTTGATAGAGGTATCAAGTATCAAGCTGCCTCTTAATAATCTTAAAGTCATTGATGCGATACACTATACTTTTCACCCTACATAAGAAGAATGGCACCGATTGAAGCATGTTTGTAAATTCTTAGAGCCTTTTGATGAGATCACTAATCTGATTTCAGGTTCTGCATATCCAACTTCAAACTTGTAACTTCAAATTTAGCTATCACCTCATAAGATTGACCTTCTTCCATAGCCTCGGCTGCCTTAAACGATAAAAAATCAGCTAGGCGTCTTAGAACCTCACAGTTAACTCCTAGATATTCCCTATGTAAAGTTCCACCAATGTCTTGTCCTGGATGGAGGTGTCAAAGGACATTAACAATTTGATTTCATTTATTCTCTATCGAATTAAAGTTAATTCTACTAACCCGCTCCACCAATTGATCCGCAAGTTCTTAATATTTTTTTTTTTATCAAAAAATGTTTTTGATGATATCATCACTAACATTAATAAATTTTTTTCGATAAAAATAATCTCTATGGTATAAATTATTTTTGAGAACTTTTTTGAATAATTCTAAAAAAATTTATTCAATGAATCATTGTACAACAAATTAATAATCCAAATATCCTACAATATGTTGGTTATATATTTTGTTTTGCGTATATTTTTTGAGAATTTGCAATAGCTTGGTTGGTTACTCTTCCATGTATGTAGAGGTGCATTACTCGTTCGAATCTCCATGATTAGTTTTTTTTTTTTTGTGTTTTCTCACTTCTATTAGGCTAGACTGCCTCAAAATACAGTTCCCGATTAATTCTAGCACTGTTTTATACTTCTTGTACTGAGGAGTTTTATTTCAATAATTACGATTTCAAAACGATTACTGAGGAGTCAAAAAAGAAGGATAATTGTATTATTATTTTTTTGGTGTATTTTGGTTATATGTTAAAAATATATATATATATATATATATATATATATAGAGGACCAAGAAGTTTCCATTTGTATGAATTGAACTTGAAGTATCACATTCATATTGCAATTATACAAAAGAACAACAAGTATCACATTCATAGAGTCATCATCCATAGTGAAAAGACCCCGTGTTGTAGTCTTTTTATTTTAGCTTGACCAACAAAAAAGATTATTTATTTTAGGAACAATTGCATATCAAAATGGAACCAATCATATTCTATAAATTAAGATAAAGTCAAGGCGGCTTCATTTCTCCGTGTAATGCGCCGTGTAAAGAACTAGAAAAGGTCAACTGATTGGTTTTGACTCTTGAGATTGGAAATTTATATGGACTTTCTTATGTGGTTCCTCATGTAAAGAAAAACAAAAAGGTCCACAAGGCTACATTTTCAAATAAATTAAAAATCATTTTTGATGAAAAATTTGCTCATATCCCTTATATATTAATTGAGAAGCATTGTTAAAAAATAACCTTACCCTCATGTGTGATTAACGAAAATGCCATGCTGATGTGTCTTTCTCACAAAACTTCTCAATCCATTTAATTAAAAACCCAATACTTATTAGGATATTTACAGATTTTGCCATTAATTTTACTTCTGTTTATTTTTTCTATTTAATTTATGTTTTTTATTTTACACAATTAATTAAAACGAAAATACAATTAAAATATGTAATTAAGAAATACAAAATGGGGTACCAAATATTTTGTGTATCTATTAATATAACAAGATATATATATTATAAAACATGATAAACATAAACATTAATATATAAATGAAAATTTTACTAATCTTGATAATCATTAATATACCACCGTTTGTCTAATGATATAAAAATCGAACGCCTTCAGTATCATCAATACATTAATATATATTTAATAATCATTTTGTCCCGCACAAAGTGCGGGTATTTATCTAGTTCATATTATATACATACAAGTTGCTAAAATCAGAGCAATCCATAATGATTCAATAATTCAAAGTTCAAACAATGTGAGCCTAAAAGAACTCAACTTCATGTATATAAACCCTTCTTCTTCCACATGAGTCTCTTCAAGTAAATTACATTAACATTTCTTCTCTCTAAAAATGACGAAAACGCCGATTCTTGTCGCTATATGTCTAATGCTTGCTCTCAACATTGCTGCTGAAACTAAGGTACTTGATAGTTTTTTTTTTCTATGCCCAGATCTGAATCTCTACTCAGTTTCTTTCCTTTCGGTAGTAAGCTAAACTTGGCATGCTTTGTTTGATGATTGAATAGGTTCATATAGTGTATCTTGGTGAAAGGCAACACGATGATCCTGACTCCGTTACCGAGTCTCATCATCAGATGCTTTGGTCAATCCTTGGAAGGTAATAATTATTTTTTTAAAAACTCATGTTATCAAATTTGACCAAACCATATCCTAAACTCTTTTTGCTCATGTCACATCATATCACATCACAGTAAAGAAGCTGCACATGATTCAATGGTGTATAGTTATCGCCATGGCTTCTCCGCTTTCGCAGCCAAACTTACAGATTCCCAAGTGATTCAACTCTCAGGTACTTATAGTACACAAAGATTGGTTGGTTCTTGTTTGATTTTTCGCCGTGGCTAAATGCAACTCTTGTTTTCTGATTATAACAGAGTTACCTGAAGTTGTTCATGTCATACGCGATAGATTTTACGAATTGCAAACAACTAGGACATGGGATTACTTGAAACATACTTCAAGACATCCAAAGAATCTTCTAAATCAAACTAACATGGGAGATAAAGTCATCATCGGCGTCGTTGACTCCGGTATAAACCGACTTCTTGCCTCTCAAAACCGAATTCGTAGAACGTTTCAAATTTGTTAAACTTGTTTGGTTTTATATTTATAATAGGGATATGGCCAGAGTCTGAATCATTCAGTGACAATGGTCTTGGACCAATACCAAAACGTTGGAAAGGAAGTTGTGTGTCAAAACAGAGTTTTAACGGCTCAACCGTTTGTAACAGAAAACTGATTGGCGCCAAATACTTTATAAGCGGCCTAATCGGCGGCGCTGACGAAAGCAACTGGAACACCACGGAGAATCCAGAATATGTCTCTCCTAGAGACTTCAACGGTCACGGGACACACGTTTCTGCAACCGCTGCTGGCTCGTTCGTCGCGGACGCGAGCTACTTAGCTCTCGGTAGAGGAACCGCTAGAGGTGGAGCTCCTCGGGCCCGCATTGCTATGTACAAGGCTTGTTGGCACTTAGCATCTATAGGAACAGCTACTTGTTCAGCTGCAGATATGTTGAAAGCAATAGATGAAGCGATTCACGATGGTGTAGACGTTTTGTCAATCTCCACATCGTTCCCAATTCCTCTGTTTCCGGAAGTGGATGCTCGGGACGCTATGGCGGTTGGAGCGTTTCATGCGGTTGCCAAGGGAATTCCTGTGGTCTGTTCCGGTGGTAACGCGGGTCCTGCTTCTCAAACCGTTACCAATACGGCTCCTTGGATCATTACCGTTGCTGCAACCACTCAAGATCGGTCTTTTCCCACACTTATTACTCTAGGCAACAATATTACTATTGTGGTAAGTTAAATAAACAGAGTAAAGATCACTTCTTTCAGATTCTCTGTTTAACATTTCAACTTCTTTAAATTTTAGGGTCAAGCATTGTATCAAGGTCCAGACATGGATTTCACCGGTCTGGTTTACCCTGAAGGTCCAGGAGCAAGCAACGAGACATTTTCCGGGTAATTTTCCACTCTCTAATCTTCTTTCTTGTTACTCATTTCAACCATTTTTTCCTAATGAGATCAAATCTTTTTAAATCTTGCAGAGTTTGTGAAGATCTTGCCAAGAATCCAGCGCGTATAATAAAAGAAAAGATTGTTTTGTGTTTCACAAAATCGACGGATTATGGTACCGTGATCCAGGCTGCATCAGATGTATTTAACCTTGATGGCTACGGCGTTATAGTTGCAAGAAATCCAGGCTATCAGCTTAATCCATGCGACGGTTTTCCCTGTCTCGCTGTCGATTACGAACTAGGAACAGATATACTCTTCTACATACGTTCCACTAGGTATATTACAGTCCTTACACATTTTCATCAACTTGTAACCATTACCTAGAGATTGATTCTTTTTATTAAATGGTTGGTTTTGTAGATCACCTGTTGCCAAGATTCAACCTACAAGAACGTTGGTTGGACTTCCCGTGGCTACAAAGGTCGCGACTTTCTCATCGAGAGGACCTAGTTCGATCTCTCCTGCAATTCTCAAGGTATATTCTTAGCTACTAAATTCTCTGTTTTGGATAAGTCTTAAACTTTAAACCCTTAACTTTAATAGATTCTTTGAGCATAGGTGTTTGCTTTATAAGTTAAATTTTTAGGTTTTATAAATGTATAAAAGAACAGCAAACCATCAATAAATGTGGTCTTGAGATTTATCAGTTTTATGTAGTTAATTGCTTTTTACTGAAGTTTCATCTGGATTATTTTGATAAATCGGAGACTGATTCTGTTCTCTGATACAGCCTGATATTGCAGCACCTGGAGTGAACATACTCGCAGCTACTTCTCCAAATGATACATTCTACGATAGAGGATTTGCTATGAAATCAGGAACATCAATGTCGACTCCTGTTGTTGCAGGAATTGTAGCACTCCTTAAGTCTTTGCACCCTCATTGGTCTCCAGCCGCCATTAGATCCGCCATTGTTACTACAGCATGGAGAACGGATCCATCCGGTGAACCCATTTTCGCAGACGGATCAAACCGTAAATTAGCTGATCCATTTGACTACGGAGGAGGCGTTGTGAACTCAGAGAAAGCCGCAAAACCCGGTCTTGTTTACGATATGGGTGTTAACGATTATGTTCTCTACTTGTGCTCCGTTGGTTACACAGATTCATCCATTACTAGACTTGTCCGGAAGAAGACGGTTTGTGCAAACCCTAAGCCTTCTGTTCTTGATCTTAACTTGCCTTCAATCACAATCCCAAACCTTGCAAAAGAAGTTACTCTCACTAGAACCGTTACCAACGTTGGACCAGTAGGATCAGTTTACAAGGCTGTGATTGAGGCTCCGATGGGTGTTAACGTGACCGTGACACCG